ATTAAAAAAAGTTAGTGGTAGTGTTACGTTGTTATATGACCAACCCATGTGCACTTCATGTTTTAGCTCAAATTTAGTCTTGTATATGATTATGGAACGTTTTTGAACTAGAGGAAAAGAACTGGCGTTCCAGACTACTATAAAAAGGGCATTTAATATATGTATGTATAAAGTATATGCTGTAGATAATTAGTAGTAAAATAGCATTGATAACTGCAAAAACGAAAAGTAAAAGTTTATTTTAAAGGATGATTTTTATGAACATATACATAACACTGATAAATAAAAGTACTTAGTATTAAAAAAAAAGATTTTCATTAAATGTTTTATAAAATTTCAATAGAACTGTTACAAGATAGATTTGGGAGGGAGATTTATATTCGGTTCGAAATCTGACACAAATAAAAGTAAAACAACATTTTTTATTCAAATATGTTTTAACTTTAAATTATTTTAGATTTAAAATGATGTTAAGTACATGTACCTATGTAGCATTAGAAAATCATGACCAACACTGAATACGTCATAAGTTTTAAAAGGAATTTTTATTTATTAAAAACATTTTTTTTTTTCAAATTATTTTGAATATATATGTTGCCCTAAAGCAGGGAGCAATTGAAAACCATCTGCTATGACCACTGCTGGAGACGTCATTAATTTTTGTAATCTTTTTAATGAAGGTTAATGGAAAAATTTGATAAATATAAGAAATAATCCAAGATATGAATGAAAAGTAACCGTGACGGTCAGTAAATATTGTGCCAGGCCTTGTTGTTGTTTGCCTTTTATGTATGTTGATGTAGCCTGACTTTAACCCAAGTTCATCAAGAATTTCATGTATAAAATGGAAAGGAAAGAGTCTGGCGTATTTTAACAGACACTTGTTTAAAGATGAAGAAGGTCAAATTATTAACAATAGTGTTGCTAGTGGGTTTGAATACTGCGCTTGCGTTACCAAGAAAGCAGCTACATACAAAAGGTAATTAATTTAAATTTTTGGAATTTTATGTATCTTTAACTTGTATAACAAGTCTGTTAATGTCGTATAAGTGCAACATTTTTTTGTTATACCCTATGTTTAGTGAGTTCTATATACTTTCTTTGTTTTATTACAAATAGGATATAATTGATTTGAAAATAATCATGTAGTTGCTTTTTTATCAACGTTTGCAAAAACAAATCTTTAAAAAAAAAGGAATGAATGAATGAAAAATATTTATTATTTTTAAGCTTCTGTATATACTAACAATTATTGTTTAATTGGAAAACCTCTGTACAAATTTATTTCAATACGTTAGTTTTTATTCAACAATACTTTTTTTCTGGTCACGCTCTGCATTTCAAAGTTACATAATTTTATGACAAATGGTAAAAAAAAAAAATTGTACTTTCACAATCAAAAAAAATCAATCAGATGTTATAATTTTATGGGTAACGCATTGGGGTATTATTTATATGATCCTCTATATTATTTTATTTTTATATGAACTAAGCGGTTGTACAATTTTTTAAGAAAATATCTGTATTTTTGGCTCGCAGATTTTAACTGAAAGTTATCACATCGATAAGAAGCATACATTTTTTTTTCTTTTTCCCCGTTACGTTAGATGCTCTCAGAATTTGAAGTTTTATATACGCAAAGGTTAATAAACTTAATTCAATTTCTCTGTGGTAAAATTTAATTTCTTTCTTAATCTTACGTTGCTGTTTGCAATGATTGAAGAAAGGATATCAAACGGTCAAGTCTCTTACTTGTTTAATAATCTTTAAATTTTCAATTTGCTGGTTTATCATCAAGATTCTACATAACCGTAGAACGTCGAATTGCTTTTGAGGTATTTGATACACATGGCTACTTATTTGGACATGGCAAGATTAAAAAAAAAACGTTTCATAGTTCACTGAACAAAGCCATAGTAATGGATTTTACGATGTGACCTATGTATATACCCTTTACTACCCAATGATTTACCCACACAATTCCTTAGACTGTAGACCCGTACACCATTACCTTGATTAAAAAAAATCTTTTTTCAGAAAATAAATTTAAAGCAATGCAATTGAAATTAATTCTTGAATGAAGTGTTTGGTTGAAAGTAGTAGTTACTTTTTTTCATAAAACCTTGACTTTTTCACCTGTTAACAAGACATTTCAGAAGTGAAGACTTAAATAGCATTGAATATGTTGAAGGCTTAATGTTTAAGTTTTTATCCCTTTTAGAACCTCTCAAAGTTTAAAGGGTTCTCCTGATGCACAAACTGGTTAAAGGTTTTGCTATTTATACGGTTCTATTCTTGAGCAAATTCGAATGTGTATATTCTACTTTAAGATTAACAAAAAATATATATAAGACATTTGCACAAAATTCTATGTAGTTACTTTAATAATCAAAAGATGATTTTTTTTTATGATATCAAACATTGTTAATTTATAGTCATTTATTATAAAAAGTATTTTATGCATTTCATATTCTTTATGATGATTTCTCAATAAAATTGAGACAAGAAATTTAATAAAAGCAAAAATTGTAACGCTTCTTTTTCATTTAGATTTCATGGTGATTTTTTGGGTGCTTTCAGTTCTTCTGTGTGCTTGACATGGGTGACTTACAATTGAATTCGAAAAAAAAATAAGCGAAAGACCTCGGTAAAAAAAAAATACTAAGTACATCTTTTCAATGTCCATTTCTGCGTGAAAATATAATAAACAGCATTTTCGTTTTTGTAAAGCAGTCGGCATGGTTGCACATTTAAAATTCTTCGCATTTAAATTTTACAAGGACACTCATATCTTTTTTTATTTTACTAAAATTGTTGTACCCGTAGGTTGTTTTGATTGTATTAATTGGTTGGAAAGTTTGCACGAAGTCCTCAATTCAATTATGGGCCATAAAAATAGCCGGGTATCTGTCATTGACCCGTTTTATCGACAAGCCGGGTGCGTATTCCTATTGTACCATCAATCAACAAGACAATTATAATAAGTGGTTCTTAACCACTAATGGAACACATTTCAAGAAATATGAAAGTGAAATTATCCTGTTTTGAAATTTTGAAATTTTCATGTACTTAAGTAGATGTTTATAACCTTTAATGTAGTTCTAGCGTAGGTTGCGGATTTACGTACGATGTAAAATTTTGTACATTTCTACACATTCACATCAGCAGATATTTCGCCATCTTGTCACAAATCTCATTTATCATACATTCTCTCCATATCTAGAATAAATTGTAAATATCTTTAGGGACCTGCATATTGCTCTGGAATAGAATTGCCAGATTTTGTTTTGTTTAACCAATTAAGATTTAAGTACAGTTACACATCCATATATATCCCTTTTATTTTGAAGAATGATACAGAAATGGTGTATATATGTTGTTCTAAGGCGCTGACGGTTCTTTTTATATCACTTGACATAATATGATGCAAAGAATGAATAGAACGTCAGTCGCTCTCTTTCAAAAAATGTATATAGTAATCACTAAGAAACTTTCCAAGTTTCTTGTTCATAATATATTATTAATATTTGCTATTGAATTCATATATCTTTGGGGTATTTCCTCACGCGACAAGATTCATGTACTTGCAACGATGTCAAATTAAAAAGTTTAGCACCTGATTCACGGATGAACGATCTTATTCAGTTCTGTATTAATTCCATCTCAGCAAGTATCTCTCAATTTATATAAAAGTTTTGTTGCCACCTCTTCTCTCTCTCTCTCTCTCTCCCTCTCTCTCTCTCTCTCTCTCTCTCTCTCTCTCTCTATATATATATATATATATATATAAAGCACTAAAAACCAACAACACTGTATATCCTAAGTGTCGGATCTACTAAGTGGATACAAGGTCACGGATGGAAATTTATACAAAGCACTAAAAATGACCAACGACACGAACAATAATAATTGTCAAATTTTCGGAACGACCTGCCAGGTCGTCCCGAAAATTTGACAATTATTATTGTTCGTGTCGTTGGTCATTTTTATTGCTTTGTATATATATATATATATATATATATATATATATATATATATATATATATATATATATATATATATATATATATATATATCACATCCATAGCTCTTATTAATTTATTAGCCCTCATTTATCAATATGATCGATATTTGTAACGATACCTGTTTTACCAAGAAAAAAAAACATTATCTTGAACACAATATCTTGTAATCGTATTGGTAAAAGAATGAAGAAAAAATTTCATGTTCATTTTATACATTTTTTTACACAAATTCCTTTAACACCGTATAGAAAATACTTCAAATTAACTTTCGCTTTGTTAAATGCTTTAAGATGTAAACCTATATTAAAAGACGTTGATATGAACATCAAAAATCCCTCATATAGTAGGTCGGAATGAGATAACCATGTTCTTGTTTAGAAAAAGCAATTACAGGTAGAATAACGTGTATACAACGAAACAGGTACTAGTATACTATTCTTATATAATAGTAAATTTCCTCCACCTTAAGCAATGAAAATTGGTAGAAACTTATTTTCAGGAATGAAGTAGTCGTGAATAAAATTGACTTATAATGATTTTTTTATCAATTGCTATTATATATGATTAGTAAGTGTTCTAGTAAGTGATGTGGTTATTCCTTCATAATAAGATCAAATGGCGCTGCTAAAATCTAAATTAGACAAAAGAGGCCAAAAGAGAAAGTGGAAACTATCGTAACGTAAATAGAAATAATATCATCTCTTTCTCGTTGTGGTAAAACATTATCTTCAAGAGGAGATTTAAGTTAAAAATTCAATCAAATGTCTTAAATAATTTGCTTAATCTTGGTGTATATTTCCCTTTTTACAGAACGACACAACAAATGAATTATAAGAAAATTTAAATTGATATTAAACTCCAGAAAACTGGAATTAACCCCAGTTTGTGAATTAACCCGTTTTTACACGTCAATAGAAATAAATAAATAACCGTACCATCACCCACGCCTATCTGAATCAGTCAGGCGTGGAATCCATGAGTAAGGCAGAAAAATACACTGTCCAAAGTACGTAAAGGTCAGTTCAATACACTGTCCAGAATATGTAAAGGCCAGTTTAGAACACTGTCCAAAGTACGTAAAGGATCAGTTTAATACACTGTCCAATGTACGTAAAGGTTAGTTTAATACACTGACCAAAGTACGCATAGGTTTGTTTTTCATTAACTGTCATGTGTTTTTTTTTTCTCAATTACGAGGGTTGTTCGAAAAGTTCGTGGACAATGCCAATCCTCGTTATACTACTTTCAGGAATTTAATATAAGCACATTATCATGTGTAAAAATATTTATTTTGTTGATTGTGAAGTTTCATTCTATTCGGTTTAATAGAAATCAATTCACTTTTTTTTTTAAATCAACATGTTTGATAACACCGGAGCAAACTTAACAACATTATAACGTCGAAAATATAGCGTCATGAGGTTTTCAAAATATTCTCCCTATACACTTCAAACAGTCTGATCCAATATCTGCTCATTTAAAACTTGTCTCTATCAATTGAAATTCATTTTGTTAACAATTGTTCCAGTAGCATAATTTTGATTGTCAAAGTTTTCTTTTTTTTAACGCTTAACTATGCTTTCACAAGACCAGCAACCGTGAAACGCCCTTCTTTCCAAGACAGTACTAACTGAACGTTTTTGGGTTAATTCTTTACAGATGATCCGTTACAGATCGTCCTCGTCTCATACAAAGTCTCAATCATTCAAATACCGCCTGGGCCATTTACACATACATATGCATGACCCGCTTTTGAGATATTTCTCGCTTCCTACAACATTTTCAGATTTTATTCTGATGTTTTCAAGAGTACAACAGAAAATTGTATAGTAAACTGCTGCTCCGTGACGTTCTACGACGTCAACTTTTTTTGCCTTTTTCAATGGGGATTACCTATCTTCAGAAATTGATTTCTTTTCCATGAATCAAGTCATAATTTGAAATATGAAACGATGTAACAATTCTTAATTTGATCGTTTAGATTTATTTTGGTTTTGAGCCATTTTACAGAGGATATGTCTAGAGACATTAATTAGTGTATTGTTTGTAAATTACTAAATTTTGACTTGCTCCGCGAACCAATTTTCGCAGTTTTTAACTCCTAATAAGTTTGAAATAAATGAAGATATTTTAAAAACATTTAATCCAAATTATTTGAATTTACCAAAATTTGGATGTAATATGACGTTAAATAAAAAAGATATGACAGAAGTCCACGACTTTCCGAACAACCCTCGTACAGTACCTTAGTCAGTACTAGTACTTTAAGACATTCAGTTAAATTAATGACAAAAAAGGTCATCAGATAACATGTGACACTTCTAAAAGTTGTTTATTTTTTCTTCGATCCATGATTGTATCTTAATTGAATTTCCATTGTACGAAATCCGAAAAACAACACATCAAATAAATGTTGACTTATATAAACCCGTTACAAATGCGCAAGCGTGCACCTTAATGGATCAAATTATTACTCAATAATTACGATAAATTAAACAATATATGAATGTAAAAAAACTTTTTACTTAAAACTTTTCACGACTTTTATTTTTTCTTTCATTATATTTTTTAAGTATCTAAGTTATAAATAGTTTATTTATGTATTAGTCCTCTTTAGATGTCATATAAGTCGAAACATTGGATTATTGATCAAAGGAACGCTTTACTAAGAAACAAACAACATCGTACATTTGATAATTTAGAATGTATTGAAAATCCAAAGAAAAAACTATCCCAAAACTCTAACTCTCTTGTTTATTATATTGTCAATATACATGTCATGACTTCCTGCAATGTAGTATCGGGGAGTGGTATAATAATAACATGTCCGTGATTTTTTTAAATTCCTAAATCACTGACCAGAACTACTTTTTCATCCATTAGATATATGTTTCACAGGAGAAAAAGTTAAAAAAAAAAGCTAAATGCAAAAAAAAAAAAAAACAAACAAACAAACAAACAAACTGGAATCTCTTATTCAAGAGAGCTAATTGGAGTTATTAAATGGAAAGTCTATATATTATCAAATAAAAGGACTGGACATAATGGAGTAAAATTGCTAAAAGTGTCTGATAATATAATATTTTATTTGAGTGATAAAAATACTACTGTATAGTTTTTTTGTTTTTTTTTTTTTTTTTTTTTTAAATACCTCAAGAAAATAATTTTATTGCTATTGCTAATTCTCACGCAAAAAATTGTTATAATATTAATATCGTTGTACCTTGTTTACTAAATTGGTTATTTGCTACATTCTCATTTAAAGTATTTGATGGAAATCTTCAGAAAAGTATCAACAATTTCAAAATAATTTCCATGTACCTAAGTGGATTTTAACTTCAATTGTTAGCAACAATATCTCTTTGTACTGATGCAGGGTATTCTTGTTTCACTAGTGCTTATTTCTTTTCCCAAACCGAGATTATTAAATAGTACTATCCAAAAGAACATTTTCATGATAAAGTTTGATTTTCAGCCTGCACCAAACATGTTGCTCTATGTCCATGCCTATTACGATCAATAAATTTTATGATTCATCATATTAAATACAAATTGTTGTTGACTATATTAAAGCATTTCATTACGATAATAATTTCCTTTATTTTGGATATTCTTCATAAAAAAGATTTTCTCAATACACACAGAGGATAATTTTCTGTGCCCTATAACAGAAAAATAACGCTTTCAAAAAGCATATATTTCTGATACGAGAAGCAGTTTTTAGATTGAAACAGAAAGGAAAACAAGTAACTTTCATTGGATTCTATTTTTAGAAATAGCAATTATAGATGTATTTATTATATATTTATTATATTCGGATATAATTTTTCAATTAGCAATAAACTTTACAATTTAGACACTTTAAAAACAAATTGACATTTATCAGTATTCACTTAATTTTCAAATTCATACTTTGTAAAATCGTTCTTAACTCCAAAACAAAATGTACAATAAAGACATGTTTTGTTTAGAGTGAATTTTGTATTTGCTTTCTTTTTGTATTCCATTATATGTTGCCAATCAAAAAATGCTATATGTACACCGATAACAACTGAATTTTGACTTAATTGACGGCAATTCTCTTCTTTTGAAAGATGCACGACTAAATAGTCTCCTAGATGCACTAGAAAAATATGTTAATCAAAGAAATTTGAAGTCACGTGATCATCTACGGTCCAATGAAATTAGACATGATTTTTCCAAAAAGGTGTGTATGTTTCACGTATGATTAAATGCTTGTTTTATGATATAATTAAGTCAATACAGAGAATTAACTTGAGTACTCGGACTTTGATACATTGATTTCCTCTTTAATCAAGAGTACAGTTTGTTCCGATGATGAAGAGGATGCAGAGAGACAGACAGTTCTCATAGATGGTAAAGATGGAAAGGTGTGTCTATAGAAAGGACATTATCATTTTCACAACGGGAAATGTTTTAAAATTGAGAATAAGTATCGTTTGAATACCTATATGTGAATATTTGAAAACTGTATGTGTATTGCTTTTTCATAAATTTGTCAGTGTGATCTTGGTATCGACTTTGGAATAGAAAAGTACCACTTTTTTGTTTTTTGTTTGCTTGCTTGTTTAACGTCCCCTCGACGTATGGATTAACTCCTTGCTCCGCTATTCTAGAGCAAAAACTCTAAGCACTGCACGACGCGGGCGATCATACCATTGAATTCGAGGGAATGAAAATAATAAGAAAACTATCACAGCAATGAGTCTCAGCTTTTTTATTTTCTTTAAAAATGACACCCCCTCCATTAAAAACCCTTTTTATTCACTTTCTAATAATATATCAAAATTCATGCAAACACAGCGGAAATTTTAAAATATCAAAGTCTTTCATATTTTGAAATTTACAACCATACAAATGGATTTTCAGTAACCAAGAAAGACTTAGTAGCAAATGAATAATTTGTACAACATTGACATACAGTATGTATTTGCTAATAATCTTTTTGTTTTCATTTGAAGCCAACAGATCTGTGTATCGATAAAACCCAGAAGGACGATGACAACAAAGACAAACCTCCACCACAAATTGGGATTAAAACGGTTAGGCAAATAGTTGATGAGATAGACTCCATATAAGGGAAAAAACAGAAAAAGAAAGAACCCACGAGAAATTCAAATAAAAAAAAGTTTTTCTTTAATTAAAAATGAGAGAGATTGACCTCACTATAGATTGGTATTAAAATACAAAACATAAACTTAAAAAGATACACTCCGATGCAGATTAGGTCAGAAAATAACAGTTAGAAGTTACTGTAAGTCGTTTTAATTCCACGGTGTTAAAATTTCACAAATTTCTCAAAACGTACCAATCGCGATGGTTTTAATTTCACGGTGCAAGAAATTAATTTGAATTTTGTATAAGTATTTAAATGTTTCTAAAAACTAATAATAGCCTTCGCTATGTGTTTAATTTCGCGGAAAAAATGATAAATCGCAAACATAGTGAAATTAAAACCATCGTGATAATTTGCCAATCTACAGTATTTCCCACAAAGACTAGAATAAACAAAAAAGCCAACTTTTCCAGACTCCTATCAAAGGTTGGAATCAAAATAGGCATAAAATTCAAAGAGGCTTACTCGGAAAATTGATTGCAATTGGGATCAGAAATGTAAAAGTATAGACAGACTTCAACCAAAGCCTTGGATCAAACTGGAACGAAGAGTTTGAAAGAAAGACTCCCATCAAAATGGTGAAAGAAAGGCTCCTGTCATGGGATGCTATGGAAACTGAATAAGGGTTGACTATTATGATAGACAGGGGTCCCACTCATGTCTTTTATCTACATGCATGTCTGTCTTTAAGTTTGGGGGGCTTTTTCATGTCCAAATCTAGTTGTTGCATTGTTTGTCTTGCAATTATCAAACCTTAATTTATAGTTGATACATCTTGGGGAATATGAGTTGCAACTCGAAAGTAGGTCGCTGTAACCTTGATAGGAAAGGTACGACTATACATAGGCACTTTACCCTTATCATTTCTTGCAAATTATGAACGATAGGAAAATTTCCGGAGATTTGCTACATGTATAGAGCATTAGGACGGTAAGAAAACTTTGAGAGATTAACTAATTAAGTGATTCATCTTTATCAATTTCAATCATAGATTTGAATCTGGTATCATTAATTACTAACTGGCTTTGTTGAAATGCATTAATAATCAGCTTAATGATTACCATAATATCCCATATGTACTATTAAATTGTGCTGTTATAGGTCCCATTGATCTATAATCAATATCTTTTCTTCTGTCATAAATTCCAATAATGGCACCTTTGTTTATATCGATGTCTCAGTGGATAAATTTGAGTTATTATAGATTCTGTGCAGATAGATTTGAGTTGTTCTAATTTTTTACAGGGACAAGGAACAAGAAAAAGAAATTTTGGAATCTCGTCCACACCACTATGGACTAATGGTATAATTCCGTATGAAATCGATTCCAACTCATTTGGTAAGTTTGTCCGCTTTGTGAAAGATTAATTTCACAGTTACAAGTGAAACCTACTTTACAAATCGCGAAGAAGTTATTTTAAGTATTTATGATCCTTAATCATAAAAACATTTTGTCTTTATTTTTTTATTTTGAATTAAGAGCACTTTTCATAATCATTTTAAAAATACATTTAATAAAGGTCAGACAAAGGCCTTGATTTAAATCATGTTGAAATATTTTCTTAACGTTGAAAGGAATGCATCAAAGAAATTTTTCTTTTGGTAAAGCATGGTGTTAGGGACTAACAACGCGTTCCTAATATGTGTGTTTTATGTTTAACTTTGTTATATACAAAAAATGTCATTTATCTTTATAATTGTTCTTCGATTTCGAAAAAAACAAACAAACATTGGCGGTGATATCAGCAATTCCAATGATATTCAATAGGTTTATACATGATATAACATCCTGTTGAATCTTGTAAAAAAAAAATAAAAGCATGCCAATATTTCTCAGTTTTTGCGAGGAAACTTGCTAAGTTTATTATTTCAATTGCAAAATATCGGTAAAAATAATAAAAGAGGAAAATGTCGTCAGACCTTAATAAAATAAATTTTTAGATAATTATGAAAATTACTTTAAATTCTACCAAACTTTCGAGTCTTCAGAAGTTAAGATATCTTTTGTTCTCAAACGTTACTCAGTAGAGATTCAGATTTTCAACACTGCAGAACAGAAACAAAATTATAAAAAATAAAATAATTTGGTTTCTTTTAAGAACAAATTTCTACATAATAATACGATGCAAACACTCCGGAACTCGTATTATTGGTAAGAGGAATTTTCCATGGATTTTTTTCAAAGTGACTTGTTTACATTAATGCATAAGTCTATGTTGGACTCTTTTGTTGTTCTTAGGTTCCAGTCTATCTCTAGCCTCTGATCTTATTCAAAACACCGCAAACAATATTTCGCAAACCACTTGTGTGAAATGGAGGATTAAAACAGCAGACGATCAATATTACGTAAAATTTCAGGGAAGTGCAAATGGGTAAGTAAACTTTCAGATATACTTCCTTTCCAGTGTTATAAGTCTTATGACAGATTTAGTTCTTGAATTATATTTTTATAATGTGATTAATGAAAGTGCTATTAAAATTTGAAAAAAAAAAATAGAGAAATGAGATGAACGAATTCAAGTGATTTTAATGTCCACCTAATCAGAATTGTTTAATTAATAGATGCTGGTCGTACGTTGGAAACATCAAGCAGACAGGTGGACAACCAGTTAACCTTGGATCGGGTTGTTTAGATGTGAGTATTTATTGTATGAAATACGGAGATAACGAACAGTAGTTAAGCTTAAAAGTCCATTGAAACAATTCAAATCAGGAGCAAAGCAAACATGGACCTTTAAAAACACCAGAGGTAGGATCAAGTGCAAAGGAAGAGTAAGCATCCTCTGTCGACCGGTCACACCCGCCGTGTATTCCTTTCATGCTCGGGAAAACGGAAAAATTCGTTAACAATGCAGTGTGTAAATAATGGCCTAACAATTAGTATGAAAAACTCAGTCAGCATTCGACTCAATGATAGACTGTATTTCCTGACAAGGTCATTGTATCGACAATAGAACTTGCGAAATGATGACTTCAAGCAAAGCTGTTGATATTCCTGTTTCACCAACTTGTTTGTCAAAAGCTTGCCTCGATTTAGAAATTGTTCGTACGTAGAGCATTCTCTTGCGTATCAAATCACTGGAAGACATGAACCCCATATGCAGGTGACAAGGGTATGTTGCTAATAAGTAAGGAAAGTTGACTATAGAAAAGCTGAAGTCATTACCTTTCTCATTTAGTTTTGTTGTTAGGTTTCCATTTACATCTTTTTCTAGTAAATATCCAAATATGAAGCAGGTGTATCAGACTTTGTGGTATCTTTTATTTCAAGTTCACTGGTATATATCGAGTCGGCATATGAATGGAAGTAGCTATTGTTAATTGATAATGCATCGTCTATATATCTAAATGTCGAGTTGATTGATTGATTATTGTTTTAAACTGAATCGGCACCATTTCAGCCATATATCGGCGGAAATGTCGAGCTGAAAGCCACAGCAAGTGTTTTCTTTTTTTAATGCATAATTTTTTAATAAATTCTACTTCATATTAATACAAAAATAGGTCTGCTGCTAACGAGGCGTAATCGATCTCTCGCAAGTCCCTCCTTTAGCATCCTAAATTAAAAAATTATAAATCTATATAGAGTAATTGTTCTCCTTACCTTACAATATTGTATTTAAAAAAAGCAGTTCAAGCAAAAATCAGACATTGTTTCTAGGACAAAAACTAGGTTTTAAAATTCCTTTTTTGGACTCATAATAATTCTACATTTACTTTTTTTTAAATTTATTTTTTTTTCATTTTATTCATTTATTTAATTAATTAATTAATTATTATTATTTTGCATTCTGGCAAAAGAATTCTTAGACTCACTTTGTTTTGTTTTTCGCATTCCAGAAATTATTAAGACCTTATTTAATTTAATTTTTCACAAGTACTTTAAAAGCATTTTTTTTTTTTTTTTTTTTTTTTTTTTTTTGCATTCATACATATCTTGAAACCACATTTGTTTATTCTCTGCATTATAAAATCTTAAACCTGAGGTGTTTTTTTAACCTTGAAGTGTTCATTAAGATAAAAAAATGAAAATTTTCAAAAATTTTCAAAAGCAATTTCCATTACATATACAATAGATCAACAAATCTGTTTTCGCTACACATCATTTTGGCGAGATAAGTGTATGGTACTTATAAACGAGACAAAGTTATCACGAATTCTAATTAATGTTTTACGTAATCTTTACTCATATAAATAAACAGAAGAATGAAGCGAGTAGATGGTCTAGAGTAATTTCGCGAAAATAAAGTTCTCGTGAATAAAACGTGATTTACAGTTTATTTTTTAATATATATTTTGAAGGAATATATCGTGCTTCATGAGATGCACCACGCTATGGGTGGACTTCATGAACAACAGAGAAACAGAAGGAAATATTTCGTTAAGATCAACTGGGAAAACATTGAGAGTAACTACAACGACCAGTATGCTCTCAGTCAAAACACAAGGAACAGCGAAGTCTACGACTATCAATCGATTTTACAATACCACTTGACCGTGAGTAAATGATAATGCAAGCAAGTGCAATTACTAGAGTTATAGTAACAATATTATTTGTAACAGACATCTCAAACCTCTGTACTTTGTATTAACTCTAGTTTTAGAGGATACCTAGTAATTCGCAAAAACAGCAAAAGGTTTTTGTAAGATATTAGTTTTTGCATTATAAAATTGAGCTTCTTGATTCTGCACATCAAACGAATGGATGGTATTGTAGGCATTCTCGTCAAACTCAAAAGCAACAATGGTAATTCCTGACCAGGACCTGGAATATCTGATTTCCAACAGTAAATACACGTTCTCGTTCTACGACATTGCAGAGGTCAATCAAGTGTACAGCTGCCCATCAGGTATGTATATTGGATGAGTTATATCTATATTTTCTATCTTTTCTGTATTCTACTGTAAAATCCTTTATTTTTCAGAGTCAAATTTTTCGTGGTTTAAGGAAAAAATGAAAGTTCGAGGGAATATGATTTTGAAGTTAAAAAAAGTGTATTCATATCCCGAATTGAAATTTTAAACAATTTGTTGTGGACATGAATAAGTGGGCCTCTACATACTATAAGAACAATGGACATTAAATCCCAACTAAATGAGTGATGTCGTAGTATTTGATCCATAAGTACTTATGTCTGAACATGTAGCTTTAAGTTGTAACATACAAGCAAACTTATATCAGTTGTGGTCATAATAAAAAGGTAAAGATACATGAAATAAAGACATCATATTTCTGCAAATTCAACATAGACCTTTGATAAAAAAAAATGATCGAAGCTGGGTTAATGATCATGTACATAAAGTTGGGGTCATATATTTAATGCTGCTGAGCTGCTTATTCCATTTGTACACATTTTACCAGAATGTCATATATTCAATGCTGCTTTATTTTCTAGCTACCTGCAGTCTATCCTGTCAGAATCACGGGTTCAGAAAGCAGGCGGTAGACCAGGCCACGTGTAGCTGTCATTGTCCTACAGGACTAAAGGGAACAACCTGTGAACAACTAGACACCGACTCAGGTATGAACATCGTACTGATAAATATAAATATTTATTATATAGTCTATGAATAGTTCCTATATATAAACTATACAAACGCAAACGGTTCATAACACTACATACTCACCGGATTGGATGCCGTATTCACCGATGGGTCAGTGCGCGTGCATCGGCGTTGTGACGTCACAGTCAACACCTCAAACAACTTTGTAGACAATAGTTTTTAAGGCCGTACTCGTCTGTGCATCTGAGCAGAAAAATTGCTAGGGCAGCCAATCGCAGGATTATTCTCCAATCATTTCGATGTCTTACACACAGCGAAGGGAAAACACAGAAGTTATAACACGTAATCTGGACATTTTTTTTTCTACGACAGAAGTTCGTTAATGAAAATGGTGTCGTCATGCAGCCTCCCGTGTCTTGTTTATTCAAATCCTCGGTCAATATTGATATTTTTCTGGTGAATAATAAGCCATATTCACCACCAAACGGGGCCATAATGGTATAATATTTCCTTCTCACTGTATTATCACTGACTTGTAGGACTTTTTTTTCAATTTGCTTAGCTACAAATGTGAAGAAAAGAACGTGCCTAAACTGTTGATGGACTAGAACTTACTTAAGTAGCAAAGAATTTTACTTTCCAAATACAAAAAAAAACCAAAAAACAAAAAAACAAAAAAAAACAAAAAACAAAAAAAGAAAAATAGAAAATAAAAAAAAGAAAAAAAAACAGTACGCAGTACGATACAGCTGAGAGAAACCCTATTTTGTAACAGTAAAACTTGATATGGTGTATCTAGTGCCCCCCCCCCCCCCCCGCGGGGCAAAATTTGTTACATAGGACGGATATCAATTTGATATAAAAAGGTATATTCTGTATTATGATTTGGCACAACAGAACTGGATAAAATCTTTGCAGCGCAAGTGCACCGTCTTATGACTCGGTATTCGGTATGACAACATTATCAAATAGAGGAAGTATTAATCCATCAACATAAATGAAATTGATGCTTTAGTTTACTCTTTACAACTTTAATAAAAGAAAACAGCCTTATTACAGAAATAGAACATAATGAATAGGTTAGCATCGATTTTACATATACATTTTCTTAATAATATAGGATGCGGCAGCATCATTAATCTTTCAAATGGCGGATCTGACGAAATTAAGGTGACATCGTACACTTCCGGAAAACTATGCACATGGCTTGTGAAGGTATATATTAAGTCATTGTTTGTTTTTGTGATCGTAACCAATGTTAACAACTGTTTTTGTCGCTTTCATAGCTATTTGTACAATACAACACAATACACATTCGTTTGGTTATTTTGTTTTTAAAGTATTACATGTTCGGTTTCATGTAATTTTTGACGAAGAAAAATTATCACTTGATATTCATCTGAACACTGGACATGATAGTATAAAAGCAACCTCTTATTTTTTTTTTTTTTTTTTTTTTTTTTTTTTTTTTTTTAATCTCTGAATATGATGAATTTTTAAACAGATGCAAGCTATACTGACAAATAAATAGATAAAAACTAATGTACTTTTTTTTATGTCTTACATAATTAATCATGATGCTAACTGTATATTATCCTAAATGTAATAATTTTTCTTCCAATTGTAATAATTTTTCTTCCAATTGCATCACTTTGCTTTTAGGCTGAAGCAAATTCAATTATTAAAGCCACCGTGACCTCGGTAGACCTGCCATTCAGCTCACAAAACGAGTGTCAACATTGGTTGGAATTCCGTGATTATCTTATCGGAGACCCTGGAAAAGAGTATGGCATTATGTCTATTTTTAATATTACAGTTAACATTGGTACCTCTAACTTTGATAGGAGCCCGGGGCCAGATTGGCATATCCTACGTATTCGATATACCGGGTTCTAGGTGTACAAATGATTTATATATTGACTGAAAATGAATTGATTTACAAGAACTTCATTTTTTATAAGAAATTCGAAGGAAAAAAATCATTGTCGTGAATTTAATTTTGATTATTTTATTTTTTCGATAAAGTAAATTATCTACAAAATCAGGGAGAGATATTTAAAGAATATCACTGGATCATCGGATCGTCTGATTCACTGACTTTCTTATATTTCCTGTCTTTTCAAGGCTTTGTGGGAAATCTACCACGGCAAAAACGTACACCCAAGCAAACATTGGGGAATCTTCTCCTTTCATGATCAGATTCAATAGTAAGAATGACGTAACATCCGGGACAGGGTTTACCATTAGAGTAGAAGCCATGCAATCAGGTAAAAATGCAATTTATCATATAGGTTTGTCTTTATCCTAAACACTTCAAAACGGATTAAGATTTTTCCACTCTTAGTGAAATTTTAATTTTAATTTGTGGTATGATTATTATTCAGTGGTATTTAGTATAATTGTGAAAACATTGTTTAACATTTCAAGGCAGGATTTGCACGTCTCTTAACTAATATCATTGTTACGCTTTTGTTGTGCAGGGGAGGTTCACCCCTTAATGTGTAATATCTCAACGGAAATAGAAATTCCCTACAAAAAATTCTATACAGGAAGATGACAATTTTTTTTTTTTGTTAATTGAATAGAAGCAAAATTAGAATAAGACAAAAATAAACTCATGCATATAAATTAAGCAGCTTGAAGTCTATTGTTGAATGTTGAATGAATATGAAAAAGGTGTTGATAACGAACAGTGATCAATCTCAAAAAAAATCTACAAACAATAGAAATCTGTGAACAGGGCATAAAATAGGGACCCCTAGAAATTCCAGAGGTGGGATCAGGTGCCTAGGAGGAGTAAACATCCCCTGTTGACCGGTCACACCTGCTGTGAGGCCTATGTATTTATCAGGTAGACGGAACATTTCGTTGTCAATTTAGTATAAAAAAAAGGCCCAACAATTAGTATAAAACATGTCAGCCAAAATACGACCCAATTTATAGGTTTTAATTACTACCAAGATCACTATAACGATCATAGAATTTATGAAATGCTGTTTTTAAACGAGGTTGTTGAAATCCCTGTAACATCAACTCATGTGTGAGTAGCCTGCCTCGTTTAAAAATTTATCGTCCCCGAAGCATGCTCTTGATTATCGAAAAAGTTGGGAGATGTAAACACCATATGCAAGTGATAGCAGGATATTGCTATATATAAATATCTAAGAATAGAATTTTAAAAAATCATGCTTGAAAACAGTTAAAGTATAAACATTTTTTCATACAGGTTGCATGAGTTCTCCGTGTAAGACGGGTTCCTTGTGTACCGAAGGAAGCGGGGACGGATCTTATACGTGTACCTGTCAAAACGGACTGTCTGGAACCAACTGTGACGAATTCAGAGGTAAAGTACAGTCATATATTATTATTCTTCTTTTTTACAGATTAAAAACAAAGTCCAATAACACGAAACAATAAAATATATTTCGTTTAATTCATAAGAAATCAAATACTTCACCGGAAAGTTTCAAAAGTTTAATGAAATTAAAGTTATTTCGAAGGCATTATAGCAAAACATATGCACTCAGTCGCTCAGATTATTTACTACGTGTAATTTTCTCACTTTTAGCCCCGGCCAACAATGAATGCGATCTGGAGGAGGATTTTGGGACGTGTATTTTTGACCAGGATACCTCGTCTGACTCTGATTTCCGGTGGAGCTTTAATACGGTGAGAAGATCATTACTTCGAAGCTACAGTGAATCTTGTTTAATCGGGACCATAATCACTGGTTCCATAAAAATTGGTAAGATTAGACAACATTCCGAATTAGACAATATTTCAAACAATTGAATTTACTAATCATGGATGGCAAGTTTTCATTGAAATAGACTAGATTTCAGAATGCACAACATTCGTATCTGACAAGTTTTACTGTATTGTATAACTAGATTATACCGAAACGGTTGTAACGAATTCCTGCTTATAAAGAAATTAATCGAGTTGGTACGGAATATAACAATTAAAGACATTTGCAAAATTATTTTTCCTAAATATTCACTATAAACGTTTTATTGTAATTTGTTGACCAAATCAGAAAGAAGGGTGCCTGGGTAATGTATCAGTCTTGCAATTGCAGTAAAACTTGTCTAATCCAGACACCAATGATTCCAGAGAAATTGACCGGATTAGACAACATTTCGAATTAGATAACATTTAAAAGAATGGAATTTACAGAATGGGACTTCAAGTTTAGATCGTATTAGGCAAGATTTTGGAATACACAACATCCGGATTAGACAAGTTTCACTGTAAAAGAATTCTAAAGACAAAAGAAAAATTGAATGTCTATAACATCCTAAGATTGTTAGCTAACAGCTAGTGCATAATTTCTTGCTTTACCAAACTTTGTAGATAAATATTTTGATTAAATATTTTGAAATATTTTTTCCCCATTTTTAAAACAGAAATCACCGGGATAAAATCGTTCACTATATTATCTAAGATCAGAAAGTATTTTCACACTGCACATGTAGTACTTATTAATTTACATGATATATCCATATCTGATACATATACCTACATTTAACATTAAAGAAAAACGACTTACATACATGTATATATCATTAGGGTACTGTTGTATCTTTAGCTCACCTGAGCTGAAAGCTCAAGTGAGCTTTTCTGATCACATTTTGTCCGGCGTCCGTCTGTCTGTCCGTCTGTCTGTCCGTCTGTCTGTAAACTTTTCACATTTTCGACTTCTTCTCAAGAACCACTGGGCCAATTTCAACCAAACTTGCCACAAAGTATCCTTGGGTAAAGGGGATTCAAGGTTGTTCAAATGAAGGGCCACGCCCTCTTTCAAGGGGAGATAATTAGGAATTACTGAAAAAATAATGGCATCATTTAAAAATCTTCTTCTCAAGAACCACAGAGCCAGAAAAGATGAAACTCATGTGGAAGCATCCTTAGGTAGTGTAGATTCAAGTTTGTTCAAATCATGACCCCCGGGGGTAGGGCGGGGCTGCAATGGAGGATCAAAGTTTTACATAGAAATATATAGGAAAAATCTTTAAAAATCTTCTTCTCAAGAACAGCAAAGCCATGATGAGACATATTTATATGGAAGCATTCCCAGGTAGTGTAGATTCAATTTTGTTCAAATCATGACCCCCGGGGGTAGGGCGGGGCTGCAATGGAGGATCAAAGTTTTACATAGAAATATATAGGAAAAATCTTTAAAAATCTTCTTCTCAAGAACAGCAAAGCCATGATGAGTCATATTTATATGGAAGCAATCTCAGGTAGTGTAGATTCAAATTTGTTCAAATCATGACCCCCGGGGGTAGGGCGGGGCTGCAACGGAGGATCAAAGTTTTACATAGAAATATATAGGAAAAATCTTTAAAAATCTTCTTCTCAAGAACAGCAAAGCCATGATGAGTCATATTTATATGGAAGCATCCTCAGGTAGTGTAGATTCAAGTTTGTTCAAATCATGACCCCCGGGGGTAGGGCGGGGCCACAATGGAGGATCAAAGTTTTACATAGAAATATATAGGAAAAATCTTTAAAAATCTTCATCTCAAGAACAGCAAAGCCATGATGAGTCATATTTATATGGAAGCAATCTCAGGTAGTGTAGATTCAAATTTGTTCAAACCATGGCCCCCGGGGGTAGGGCGGGGCCACAATGGAGGATCAAAGTTTTACATAGAAATATATAGGAAAAATCTTTAAAAATCTTCTTCTCAAGAACAGCAAAGCCATGATGAGTCATATTTATATGGAAGCATCCTCAGGTAGTGTAGATTCAAGTTTGTTCAAATCATGACCCCCGGGGGTAGGGCGGGGCCACAATGGAGGATCAAAGTTTTACATAGAAATATATAGGAAAAATCTTAAAAAATCTTCTTCTCAAGAACAGCAAAGCCATGATGAGTCATATTTATATGGAAGCATCCTCAGGTAGTGTAGATTCAAATTTGTTCAAATGTTGACCCCCGGGGGTAGGGCGGCGCCGCAATGGAGGATCAAAGTTTTAAAAAGAAATATATAGGAAAAATCTTTAAAAATCTTCTTCTCAAGAACAGCAAAGCCATGATGAGGCATATTTATATGGAAGCATCCTGAGGTAGTGTAGATTCAAGTTTGTTCAAATCATGACCCCCAGGGGTAGGGTGGGGCCCAATGGGGGAAGGAAAGTTTTACATAAGAACATATAGAAAAAATATTTCTTCTCAAGAACAGAAAAGCTATGTTTAGTCATATTGATATGGAAGCATCCTCAGGCAGTGTAGATTCAAGTTTGTTCAAACCATGACCCCCGGGGTAGGGTGGAGCCATAATGGAGGATCAAAGTTTTACATAGAAATATAAAGGAAAATATCTTCTTCTGAAGAACAGAAAAGCTATGTTTAGTCATATTGATATGGAAGCATCCTCAGGTAGTGTAGATTCAATTTTGTTCAAATGATGACCCCCAGGGGTAGGATGGGGCCCAATGGGGGATGGAAAGTTTTACATAAGAACATATAGAAAAAATATTTCTTCTCAAAAACAGAAAAGCTATGTTTAGTCATATTGATATGGAAGCATCCTCAGGTAGTGTAGATTCAAGTTTGTTCAAATGATGACCCCTGGGATAGGGAGGAGCCACAATGAGGGATCAAATTTTTACAAAGGAATATATGGGAATTTTTAAAAAAAAAATCTTCTCAAGTACAACAAAGCCATTTGTTATATTGACATGGAAGCATCATCAGGTAGTTTAAAATTCAAGCCCCCCCCCCTCCCTCGGTCTTTTCAATACTGAACTGATTGTGCTTTTGCCTAGCCAATGTGCTCAGGTGAGCGATGTGGCCCATGGGCCTCTTGTTTATGACAAATTGACATCTTTTTTGTTATTGCAGAGACTTTGTGACTGGAGAGGATGTGGTAATGGCGTCTTAACACGTGGTACCAGTTACCAATACCTTACACTTACACCGTATTATGATAGTGTTTCATGGGGCTATGGTTCAAAAGCCATCATCAAAACAGCTGCAAAATTCACAGGTAAGTTATCTATTTCACTAAGGGTTCAAAAGTTTAGAAATGCTTAACTCCAGTTTTCTGTCTTTTGCATTGCAAAACATCTAAATGTTGTGAGAGAGATCCATTAAAAGTGTACAAAAGATATGAGCAAGAATAAATTATATAGAATCGAGACAAATCTGATTGAAAAATTTGAATGCTTCAATTATGTTCAAAATTGTTTCATCGTATCTTAATAATCCTAAAATAAGTCATGTTTTAGGAATAAATTTCTCAATTTATTTATTTGCCTATAACATGTTTTAAAATGCTTTTTTTTTTCTCTCTCTCTATTTTTTGGTATGATCAATGCGTGGGGGCTATGAACCTGGGATAAAACAAGATTTAAATTTTCAGTTTCGGAAAGATGAAAGATTTCCTTTCAATATGTACATGTACCTGTAAATTTTGATCATGAATAAATGTAAGTCACATTTCACTAAAGGTGTACCAAGAGGGGGAAATCAAGCATACTCGTACTCAAAGGGCAAAATACTTCTAGAAAATTTCCCTCGGCAAAAGTCCATTAACATTCTGAATCTCTTTTATTTTCAGCGGAAACTAGATTATATGAACATTTTTTTTCTGTTCCAGCTGTTGACCGATGTCTGTCCTTTGACTATGCCATTGGGAATTATAATGAAGGTAGCTATCTGACTCAGCTGAACGTTTACGTGGAAGGGACTGGAAAGTCAAAAACAAACGTCAAGAATATCCAGACTACAACGAATTATGAGTGGATAAGCGAAAGTGTATCCATTGAGGCCGTAGAAAATCTAGTGGTACTTTTATTTTATACATTAATTTTAATTTTGGCATAGATTTCAATGGTTTTAAAGTTTATTAATAAATAAAACATTATCTATTTTTTTTTTTCAATGTGATTTAAAAAACTTCTTTTTTCTTGTAAAGATAATTGTAGAATCTATATAATCTACAATTTGTACATAAGGAAAACTTACAAAAAAGTCCTCTAAATTAATTTAGAAAATTATATGAAAATATAAATTTAAATGGATTAAAACTGTTGAAACATTATCATGCACTTCTTTTTCTTAACTATCAATATAAAACAATTTGAAATTTATTTTGAGATTTCTTTTAAATTTCCAATTATTTGTATTTTCATCATTATTTTAGAACAAATTTCCTGTAGCTGTTTCAATGCTGCATACATGTACATCTGTGAACAATAGTCACAGTAATGCAAAACTTTTAATATAAAATCATTTGACAGATCAGCATAGAGGGTATTATAGGCCCCCAGTTAATAGGAGTAGACAGTATTGCACTTCGGCCTGGTTTGTGTAAGTATTCATTTTTATCACAATATATTTCTATGATTACTTCTGGTAAGTACATACAATGTGTATTTCAATACAATATACAAGCTAACTTGATTATACCTATATGCTATGTAGATTTAGGTCGAACATTGCATTTAATGCCGAAACTGTGAACTTAAAAAAATTAAACATGACAGTGTCGTTTATCAATATCATAATTTCTCATCAAGATGTGCGTAAAGATAAAATGTCATACAAAACAGGTATAAACAGAGTAATTAAGGCTGTCTTAACGGATTCGGGAAAACCGGTCATCACTGTACTTACACTTTTATTCCACCTTGTCCTTTAATTTAATCTACTGTAATTTTTCAGATCTATTTTAAGTTTTTATCATTTGACGTAAAAATGATTGTAGGTACCAACACCCCTTGTAATCCTAACCCATGTCAAAATGGCGGATCTTGTGACGAATCCAACCCGCCAGCGGGATCTAAGTATGTATGTACTTGTCCCACAGGTTTCTCCGGGGATAGATGTGAGAGTAAGTATATCATGTTAATCATTGATATACCAGACAAACACATTTTTTGCTTACACATCCCAAATTATGCAGATACAGTTCGTCTGTTCTTGTAATTACATGTAATACATTAGTAGTTTAATGATCTCCTCATGAATAAGGATTTATTGATATCATAGTTTTAAAATTATTTTCTACATATTTAGATAAACAAATATTATAATTGTTGATGAAATTTGTAAATATTTACAGTTACATTTTTGATAATTACAATTTATACATTATTAATACATTAACTGTGTTAAAATAACATTTATGTGTCTATAATCACAGGCACTTTGGGTGTGGACCTAACCCACCCCCTTTTCCATTTATTTTTCTTTTTAAATCTGGGGTCGATGTACCTTTTTCCTATTTTTGCATTCTAATATGCACGATATGTTATCAATAATGTAACTCTTTTGCCTCTGTAAGCTGTTTTTAAATATATCGTTTTCGACTGATACAGAAAAAGAGAGAAGGCTTGCAACTCTTTTCTCGTCGTCTGCCTCACCTCGCTTAAACTTCGCCTGATTATTTATCTAAAGAATAAGAACACATGGAATATGCATACGTCAATAAATCTGTTACACATTCTCCTTCCTTTTCATATTTCCATTTACTTTTTATGTGCCCCCGATTTGTAAATATTTCGATTAAATCACCCGCATCTAGGGGAAATTTTGTTGATGTGCACCAGCTGGGACGGAAGTGCAATAACGGTAACTCTAACTTTACAAATTTTCTGCATTAAAAAAAAATTCCAGGCTTTGTAATAACAATATTGTGATATTTGGTTGTCTAGGTCGTATGTTAAAAGTTAATCTTCATCCATCAGAATCTGCTAGTTACAGTTAATTCTTGTTAAACACAATACTTACCGTTGCATGTAATATGAAGAGAAAATTCCGGGATTTTTTCCCTCTAGCACTTAATGTTCCGTATTCCCTCTCGCACTTAATGTTCCGAATGACATTACACTTAATGATGACGCCCGAAAATACCGATCTCAAAAATATCTACAGACAATACGAATTTGCAGCAGGTCATAACACATGCACCCCCTGAATTTTAAAAGGTAGGATCAGGCGCTAGGCTAGAAGGAGTAAGCATCCCCTATCAACTGGACTGGAGTCACTGAGGAAGGAGTTGATCCTTACGTAGCGGATTCGAATCCTACTGCGGGACGTGGAGACCGGTCCTCCGGATTAGAACGTATAAACCGAGGTTCCGTGTCGCAGTAGGTGCTGCCACGAAAAAGATCCCTAACTATTCAAAGGCCGTAACTGCCAATACAGGTCTAAATTAGCAAACATCCACTGGCAAGTGGTGGCGTTTTAAAATAAGTGGAAAAATAGAAATGCAGACTGAATATTCCGTAGTCAAATTTAGGACGAAAAAAAAAAGCCTAACAACATATATGAAACACGTAAGCCGAAATACGACCCAATGATCGGATATATTTGCAAACAAGGTCATTATAACGACCATAGAATTTACGAAATGCTGACTTTAAACGAGTTTTTTTTTTTAAATTCCTGTAACATTAACTTATCTCTCAGTGGCCTCAGTTTAAAAATTGATCGTACACTGGGCATGCTCTTGAGCATGGACTTAGTTGGGTGGAGACGTAAACACCATCTGCAGTTGTTAGCGGAATATTACTACATAAATGAGGAAAGTTAATGAAAAACAGAATATTACGTGCAGATACTTGTATTCTATATACTATTTATTCAAATCCAATGTCCAATTTCCATTGCACGTCTTATACTTGCACTGAGTATAAAATAGAATTGCAGTAACGGGTTATTACTGGTCAAAGTTTTGTATCGGTATAATAAATAGTTAAAGTGTATCATTGGGGGAGTCGGCAAGATTCCAATTATCCTCGGGAAAGCCTATTCTCTTGAAATTCTTGACGGATCCTGATTTTCTTTTTCTTTTTTTTTAATTTTCATGACTGTCTTGTGCATGTTATTTCATAAGCTTTTTGAAATCTTCAGAGTTTTGAAGAAAATTCTAACCAAGAACATTATTTAAGGATATTCTAATTATATTTCGGCTCTCAGCTTCGACTGATTTCTGTGCTAATTCTCCATGTAAAAATGGCGGAACGTGCACTTCCGGATCTACCACGTACTCATGCCAATGTCCTACGGGTTTTACTGGAAACACATGTGATAGTAAGTTCTTTGTTTTATCTGTTAATCTTCATGTTGAAACTGGATTTTTGGACATTTTCATAAAGAACTCTAATTTCTGATGGGTCCCGATCTATTTACAAATTTCCAAATTGTTTTGTGATTGTAAATTTTTAGGTCACCTGAACTGAAAGCCTAGCTTTTCTGATCACCCATTTTCCGGCGTCTGTGTAGCTGTTTGTCCGTCCGTCTGTCAACATTTCACGTATTTAGCTCCTTCTCAAGAAGCATTAGGCCAATTTTAACCAATGTTGGTACAAAGCATTTCCGGGTTTATGTTAAATTCTAAATTGTTCAAATAAAAAGCCAAGCCCCCTTTCAAGGGGATATAACCAAGAAACGCAAAAATAGGGTGGAACATTAAAGTACATTCTTCACAAGAACCACTGGGCTTGAAAAGCTAAAAATTATATGGAAGCTTTCTGAGATAGTGTAGAGTCTATATTGTTCAAATTATTAAGCCTGGTGGTAGGGTGGACCATAATAGATAAATTTTATATTGAAATATGTAGGAAAAAAATCTTCCCAAAAACCACGGGACCAGAAAATATAAAATTTAGGTGAAGGCTTCATGAGGTAGTATAGATTGTAAATTGTTCCGATTCATGTTCCCCGGGTGTAGGATGAGGCCATAGTAGAGAATGAAAGTTTAAAATTGAAACATATCGGAAAAATCTTTTTTTAAGAAACACTGGACCAGAAACGAAGAAATTTAGGTGAAAGCGTCATAAGGTCGTGTATAAGAAATCATTTTTACATTGAAATGTATAGGACTTAAAAAAAATCTTTTCGAGAACCGATGGACCAAAAAATCTCAGACTTATGTGGAAGCTTTCTGAGGTAGTGTAGATTCTAAATTGTTCAGATAATGGTCCCCGTGGGTAAGGTGGGGCCACAAATCTTTAAATCTTTAAAATTCCTCTTCTCAAGAACAGCAAATTATAGTGAATCATATTTATGTGGAAGCATCCTTTGATAGTTTAGATTTATTTTTTTTTTTAAATCACGGCCCCTGACTTTAGGATGGGGGTCACAAAAGGTGATCAAAATTTTACATAGGAATAGGTTTATTGGGAAAGTGACTCAGGTGAGCTTTGTGGCCCATGAGCCTCTGGTTTAAATTTAAGATTTTTTAATGGAAAATCAAACCAAAATATTAAAAAAATATTATTATTTTATCACCACTCTCAGCTTCGACAGATTTCTGTGCTAATTCTCCATGTAAAAATGGTGGAACGTGCACTTCCGGATCTACCACGTACTCATGCCAATGTCCTACGGGTTTTACTGGAAACACATGTGATAGTAAGTTCTTTGTTTTATCTGTTAATCTTCATGTTGAAACTGGATTTTTGGACATTTTCATAAAGAACTCTAATTTCTGATGGGTCCCGATCTATTTACAAATTTCCAAATTGTTTTGTGATTGTAAATTTTTAGGTCACCTGAACTGAAAGCCTAGCTTTTCTGATCACCCATTTTCCGGCGTCTGTGTAGCTGTTTGTCCGTCCGTCTGTCAACATTTCACGTATTTAGCTCCTTCTCAAGAAGCATTAGGCCAATTTTAACCAATGTTGGTACAAAGCATTTCCGGGTTTATGTTAAATTCTAAATTGTTCAAATAAAAAGCCAAGCCCCCTTTCAAGGGGATATAACCAAGAAACGCAAAAATAGGGTGGAACATTAAAGTACATTCTTCACAAGAACTACTGGGCTTGAAAAGCTAAAAATTATATGGAAGCTTTCTGAGATAGTGTAGAGTCTATATTGTTCAAATTATTAAGCCTGGTGGTAGGGTGGACCATAATAGATAAATTTTATATTGAAATATGTAGGAAAAAAATCTTCCCAAAAACCACGGGACCAGAAAATATAAAATTTAGGTGAAGGCTTCATGAGGTAGTATAGATTGTAAATTGTTCCGATTCATGTTCCCCGGGTGTAGGATGAGGCCATAGTAGAGAATGAAAGTTTAAAATTGAAACATATCGGAAAAATCTTTTTTTAAGAAACACTGGACCAGAAACGAAGAAATTTAGGTGAAAGCGTCATAAGGTCGTGTATAAGAAATCATTTTTACATTGAAATGTATAGGACTTAAAAAAAATCTTTTCGAGAACCGATGGACCAAAAAATCTCAGACTTATGTGGAAGCTTTCTGAGGTAGTGTAGATTCTAAATTGTTCAGATAATGGTCCCCGTGGGTAAGGTGGGGCCACAAATCTTTAAATCTTTAAAATTCCTCTTCTCAAGAACAGCAAATTATAGTGAATCATATTTATGTGGAAGCATCCTTTGATAGTTTAGATTTATTTTTTTTTTAAAATCACGGCCCCTGACTTTAGGATGGGGGTCACAAAAGGTGATCAAAATTTTACATAGGAATAGGTTTATTGAGAAAGTGACTCAGGTGAGCTTTGTGGCCCATGAGCCTCTGGTTTAAATTTAAGATTTTTTAATGGAAAATCAAACCAAAATATTAAAAAAATATTATTATTTTATCACCACTCTCAGCTTCGACAGATTTCTGTGCTAATTCTCCATGTAAAAATGGTGGAACATGCACTTCCGGATCTTCCACATACTCATGCCAATGTCCCACGGGTTTTACTGGAAATACATGTGAAAGTAAGTTTAAATTTCTTAATTTCAAAGAGATGTTGCAGTATTTACAATCAAATTTGTCTTTAGACATTTAAGTTAAAAAAATCTAAATCCTGATGAGTCCCCATTAACATTTTTTTTGTACTTTTCACAATTTTTCAGGTTGTTCCATGCATTTATTTATTTATTTATTTATTTATTTATTTTTGTTGTTGTTGTTGTTGTTGAAATTTACAGATTTTAAAGGAAAAACCTATTGAAAAAAATATTTAAAAAAAAATATAATTTAATTTTTGATCTTAGCTTCGATAGATTTCTGTGCTAATTCTCCATGTAAAAATGGTGCAACATGCACTTCCGGGTCTTCCACATATTCATGCCAATGTTCTTCGGGCTTTACTGGAAACACATGTGAAAGTAAGATCTTTTTATTCTCTTTTACAAAGACGTTGAAATATTAATGTTAAAACTTGTATTTAGATATTTTAAAAAGAAAATCTTATTTCTAGTGGGTTCGTTTTTCAATTTTATTATTTTCCAGATTTTTGGGAATATAATTTTTGTTGTCTGAATTTTCAGATTTTTAATAGAAAAATCTTAACAAAACATTATTAAAAATATCTAATTCAACTTCCTCTCTCAGCTTCGACAGATTTCTGTGCTAATTCTCCGTGTAAAAATGGTGGAACATGTACTTCCGGATCTACAACATACTCATGTCAATGTCCTACGGGTTTTACTGGAAACACATGTGAAAGTAAGTTCTTTTTCTTACGTCACCTGAGTCACTCGGGTGACTTTTGCTACCCATTTTCGTCCGTCGTTGTGCGTCTTTCGTTGTACGTCGTGCGTTGAACATTTTCAGCTTCTTCTCTGCAACTGCTAAACCAATTTCAACCAATTTTGGCATAGAACATTTTTGAGTGAATGGGAACAAAAATTTTGTGAATTTCATGGTCCCTACCCCCTTGAGGCCTTAGGGGTGGGACCAAACCATCAAAATTAGTGCAATCTTTTAAAAAATCTTCTTTACTCCTGGACATCAACACTGTTGGCATGATTGTAATAAGCATTGAGCCCTCTGCAAAAATTGTGGAATTCATGGCGCCACGGTCAGGTGTTCTGGAGTTAGGCTGAGGCTCTATTAATCATATAGTGAAAATGCATGAATTCTTTAAAAATCGTCTGCTCCCTATATAAAGCAGATAAACTAGGTGTATGATTATGACGATTAAGGGTGCCTATTCCGAAATTGTGAAATTTGTGGACCCAGGGTGAGGTGCTCTCCCGGAAAGGACGGGGGGGGGGGGGCTCTATTGATTATATAGTGAAAGTGCATTATTTCTTTGAAAATCTTCTTCTCTGCTCCTGGGTATTTAGCAGATAAACCAAGTATATATTCATGATGAGCAAGGGGGCCTCTTTCAAAATTGTGAATACCTTGGCCCCTGGATCAGGGATTATGGTGTTAGGGCGGGGCTCCATTGATCATATATTGAAAACGCATTAATTCTTTAAAAATCTTCTTTTCTCCTCCTGTATGTAAAGCAGATAAATTAGGTGCATGGTTATGATGATCAAGGGTGCCTATTCCGAAATTGTGAAATTTGTGGACCCAGGGAGAACGGTTATCCGGGTAAAAAGGGGGGCCTCTAATGATTATATAGTGAAAGGGGATTATTTCTTTGAAAATCTTCTTCTCTTCTCCCAGGATTGAGCAGATAAACCAAATATTTAGATATTTTAAAAACAAATGTGAATACCTTGATCCCTGGGTCAGGGGCTCTGATATTAGGTTGGGGCTATATTGAATCTATAGTGAAAATGAAATATTTCTTTGAAAATCTTCTTCTCTGCTCCTGGGCATCTAGGAGGCAAATAGAGTATATAAAGTTGTAATAAACAAGGGTGTTTTTATCAGATTTTGAAATTCTGTACCCTTTGGTCAATTTACTAATTTCTACTGAAAAAAGTTATTCCCCTTTGCTATTCAACTATAATAGTTAATCGCTGTAAATAATGCAACTTAAAAGGTCAATTAAACGACCGAATTATACAGGAAATTTTATAATATTTTATACAAAAGTACTTTCATAGTTTTTAATTGTCAGGTAAACTTTTAGATAATAGATAAATAAAAATGGGACAAAAATACCATATCTTTGTACAATAAATAATCTTCGAAGACTAAGAGAGGCCAGTGCGAGGGAGGATGAAACGTGTTAACTAATAGTGCGCGAGAACTATTGTTTTGCTTAGTTCGCATGAAGATAGTAACAAACAGGGGAAAGTACAGGCAAATAAATAGATCAACTTTAAGATTTGTTATTGAGTACTAAATTAATATTTCGCTGATCCCTGATCATCTTGTTTCTCTTGCTTTTGGGCAACACAACTTTATTTATCAGCTTATTTTGTTTAATATATGGATCGTTACATTATACTCTTGTGACCGTTGAGGCCCTTGGACCTCCTGTTTCCATTTAAAAATGGTGTTACAATATTTATTTTGAAACTTGTTTTTAGACATTTAAGTGAAAAAAAAAGCATTAGATGCGTCCCCATTTTCTCTTTACAATTTTAGAAATTGTTTTAAGCAAATTTTTTTTTATTTTTTTTTTTTCAAATTTTCCTATTCTTTAAAAGAAAAATCTAACCAAATCATTATTAAATTATTCTTATTTAATTATCACTCTTAGCTTCGATAGATTTCTGTGCTAATTCTCCATGTAAAAATGGTGCAACATGCACTTCCGGATCTACCACATACTCATGCCAATGTCCTTTGGGTTTTACTGGAAACACATGTGAAAGTAAGTTCTTTTTTTTCTCTTTTACAAAGGTGTTGTAATATTTATGTTGAAATATGTATTTAGATATTTTTGAAAAAAAAAAAATCTTATACCTAGTGGGTTTATTTTTAAATTTTATTATTTTTTCAGATTGTTTTGTGCATATAAATTTTTTGAACGAATTTTCATTTTTCAAAAAAAAAAAAATCTTACCAAAACATTATTAAAAATATCTAATTCAACTTCCTCTCTCAGCTTCGACAGATTTCTGTGCTAATTCTCCGTGTAAAAATGGTGGAACATGTACTTCCGGATCTACAACATACTCATGTCAATGTCCTACGGGTTTTACTGGAAACACATGTGAAAGTAAGCTTTTTTTTCAAATTTTCCTTTTCTTTAAAAAAAAAAATCTGACCAAAACATTATTTAAATATTCTTATTTTATTACCACTCCTAGCTTTGACAGATTTCTGTGCTAACTCTCCATGTAAAAATGGCGCAACATGCACTTCCGGATCTACTACATACATATGCCAATGTCCTACGGGTTTTACTGGAAACACTTGTGAAAGTAAGTTCTTTTTTTCTCTTTTACAAAGGTGATGCAATATTTATGTTTGAAACTTGTGTTTAGATATCTTAGCAAGAATAAGTTTAACAATATGGAAAAAAAATTGCGATCGAAAATTTTTATAATAACAAGAACACCACATTACAGATGGAAGTAAAAATAATTCCAAACTATACGGGAACTTAATAAGAGTCGTATTTAAAGTTAAATCAACTACAGACATTACCCCCTCCACTACAATATATTTCTAAAACTGGTGATACATTTGTTGCTTTTTCAAATGAAGAAAAAATGATTATTTTGCCTATATTTCTTGCATTGACGATTGCGACACTGTGTTACCTGATTTCTTTTCTGTGTGTAATTGCACGTTTAATGCCATTTGTGTTTCTGAACAAGAAAACAATAGATATTATTTCACTTCTTCCTTTAAACAAAGTAATAGGCCCAGACAATATTAGTCACAAGATGTTGAAATCTACAATGTATACTATTGTAAAACCATTATGTAATGTTTGTTGTTTGACAGGTCATTAGATGATGGTGCTTTTCCATGTAATTGAAAAATTGCTAATGTTCTCCCTTTATTTAAGAAAGATGTTCCTTCCATTATGTCTAATTATAGACCCGTGTCATTGTTAAGTTGTACAGGTAAGGTAATGGAACGAATCACATTTTAACACTTGTACAGTCACTTTCCTGACAACAGTCTTTTTTTTTTTTTAAAAAAGTACCAAGCTGGATTTTTACCAGGTAACAAAACTATTCTTTAAGCTATTGACGACGGTAAAAATTGTTGCTTGATATTCTGTGACATTTCTAAAGCATTTGATCGTGTGTGGCATAAGGGTCTCTTATTTAAACTCACAACTTAAGGTATAGAGGGAAATATGTAATATTGGTCAAAGAGTTGCATAGAAGGTAGATCACTAAGAGTTTTATACAGAAACTTGTTATCTGACGAAAAACCTTTGTATGGGGATGTCCCTTAGGGTTCAATGTTAGAACCTCTTTCATTTCTTATATATGTTCATGATGTTGCCGAAGAAAAGGCAAGTTTATGTAGATTATTTGTATTTGATAACTCCCTACAGAAGTCCTCTGAAAATGTCAATACTATCGAAAACAAACTGAATTCTGATCTTATAAAGATAGAAACTTGGTCGGAAAAAAGGGCTTCCCAGATTCAATCCTTCTAAAACTAAAGCGGTGTTTTTTAGCCTGAGAAGAAGTGTTCATTATCCTAAACTCTTCTTCCAGCAAAGTCAGCTAGAATTTGTTCCTTTGCATAAACATTTAGGGATTTTTTTTTTCTCACATGATCTTAGATGGTCTACACATATCGATATTATTTTTAGCAAATGCATATAAAAAAAATGGGTTTATTAAAAAAAACTTAAATTTTTAAACTTGTAGTCAACCGGAAAACTTTTTAAGTCATGCACACAACTTATATTAGGCCACAATTAGAATATGCTTCCTTGGTTTGGCTATGGATGTAATGTGGATGATGGCGAAAAATTAAAATTATGTGGTGCTAGAATTGTCACTGGCCTAACCCTAATAGCATCTCACTTTACTTTGAAACTGGATGGGAAGCATTATATGATAGAAGAAAAAAAATACAGGATTTACTACAATGTACAAAATCTATAATAACCAAGTTCCTGAATATCTGACTGAGATAAACCGAAATTTGCGTTGTAATTCATCAAATTACCGTACGAGGAATTCACATAACTATAACATACATGTACCTAAATACAGATTACAAACCTACAAGTCAACTTTCATTTCCGTTGTTATTGACGAATGGAACTCATTACCCCTTGTTGTAACACATTCTTCCTCATTATCTATTTAAAAAAAAAATTCAAAATTAACCTATGCCACCCTCTTACTTCAGTTGAGGAATTCGACGCTTAAATACTGTAAATGTATTATATTTAGCGTGTACGGTATTTGGCGGAAAATGCTTTTTGAACACGTTAGCGTAGATTTGATTTAGCGCATTTCCTAATGTTCTTATTTATGTGCATATGTGCAAGACATTTAGCGTTGTACTTGAATTAGCGGAAGTTGCTTTCCGCCAAAGGCGCTAAAATGAATACGCAGCTAAATATAATACGTTTACAGTATATTACATACAGGACTTCGACACATCTGTGTGCTTAATAGCGATCTTTATCAATGTAATAATTATAATTTTCAGTCTGCGAACTGCGAATGGGGTAATTACATACTGTTGATACTCACACTTTACTCTGGGGAGATGAATCGTTAAATGATGTCGAGAGTGAATAACTTTTTTACAATCGTACAAACATTTATTAAAAAGTCAGGTCGTTTTCTTTGATGGAATAATTACTTCTTGTGAATTCTATTCAACTTGCGTATTATATAATGAATCTACCTTATTGAATATTTGATCCATTGATTATTATGTTTTTCTGTGTTTTGTTCATTTTAAGCTGGGACCCATATGTGTAAATATGTATGATATAATTCACATGAAGTGAAAGGGCGTATAAACTTTTTTAGAACTTATGCCCGATCCCAATTGCAAAGTTTAAAGATAATGAAATATGTTCAAACCAAACAAGTAAAAACAAATATTCTTTCTTTTTATTATTTTCCAGATTACTTTGTAAATATAAATTTTTGTCTGAACTGTCAGATTTTCAAAAGAAAAATCTTAGCAAAATATAATTTAAAATATTCTAATTTAAATTCCGCTCTCAGCTTCGACAGACTTCTGTACTAATTCTCCATGTAAAAATGGTGGAACATGCACTTCCGGATCTTCCACATACTCATGCCAATGTCCTACCGGTTTTACTGGAAACACATGTGAAAGTAAGAACTTTTTTTAAATTTTAAAATGGTTTTGCGCTATTTCTGTTAAAACTTGTCCTCCGACATGGAAGTGAAAAAGAAAACTCTAATTCCTGGTGGGTCCCCATTTCATTTTTACAATTGTTCAGATTGTTTTTATTCTTTATTGGGGGGTTGGGGGGTTCAGGTTTTTAAAGGAAAATCTAACCCAAATATTATTTTAAAATACTCTTATTTCATTTCCACTTCCAGCTTCGATTGATTTCTGTGCTAATTCTCCATGTAAAAATGGCGGAACATGCACTTCCGGATCTTCCACATATTCATGCCAATGTCCTACGGGTTTTACTGGAAATACATGTGAAAGTAAGTTCTTTTTTTTCTTTTAAAAATGTGTTCCAACATTTATGATGAAACTTGTCTTCAGATACATTTACTTAAACAAAAAAAATTTAATTCCTGATTTGTCCGTTTTCTATTAAAAATTTCCGGTTTATTTTGTGTATATAATTTTTTGACTGAATTTTCACATTTTTTTGAAAGGAAAATTTAACCGAAACATTATATAGAAATATTCTAAATTAAATTACCCACACAGCTTCGACATATTTCTGTGCTAATTCTCCATGTTAAAATGGTGGAACATGCACTTCCCGATCAACCACTTAATCATGTCAATGTCCTACGGGTTTTACTGGAAACATATGTGAAATATATTCTTTTTTAATTAAAAAGGGTGTTGCATTATCCTTTGCTGAAACTTCTCTATGGACACTGAAGTAAAAAATAATATTTATTCCTGGTGGATCCCAATCTTCTTTTTACAATTGTTCAGACTGTTTTTGTGCATTTATTTTTAATTTTTTTGGGGGGTGGGGGGGATTTCAGCTTTTAAAAGGAAAGTGTAACCAAAACATTATTCAAAATTATTTTAATTTGATTTTCCTTCTCAGCTTCGACAAATTTCTGTGCTAATTCTCCATGTAAAAATGGTGGAACATGCACTTCCGGATCTTTCACATACTCATGCCAATGTCCTACCGGTTTTACTGGAAACACATGTGAAAGTAAGTACTTTTTTTAATTTAAAAAGGGTGTTCCACTATTTCTGTTGAAACTTTTGATATGGAAGTAAAAAAGAAAACTCTAATTCCTGGTGGGTCCCCACTTCATTTTTAGGTCACCTGAGTCACTCAGGTGACCTATTGCTATCTCTTTTCTTCCGTCGTCTTGCGTCGTCCGTCGTTCGTCGGTCGTAAACTTTTGAACATTTTCAGCTTCTTCTCTGGAACCAGCAGACCAATTTCAATCAATTTTGGCATATAGCATCTATGGGTGAAGGGGAACAAAAATTGTGAAATTCGTGGCCCCTGCCCCCCTGGGGCCTGAGGGTTGGGGCCAAAGCCATCAAAATTAATGCAATCTTTGAAAATCTTCTTCTTTACTCCTGGACATCAAGCAGTCAAACTGTTAGCATGATTGTAATAAGCATTAAGCCCTCTACCAAAATTGTGAAATTCATGGCCCCAGGGTCAGGGGTTCTGGTGCTAGGGCGGGGCTATATAGATCATATAGTGAAAGTGCATTATTTCTTTGAAAATCTTCTTCTCTACTCCTGGGTATTATTGAAACAAATTGAATACATAGTTATGATAAGCAAGGGTGACTCTACCAAAATTGTGAAATTCATGATCCCAGGGTCAGGGGTTCTGGTGCTAGGGCGGGGCTTTATAGATCATATACTGAAAGTGCATTATTTCTTTGAAAATCTTCTTCTCTACTCCTTGGTATTATTTAAACAAATTGATTTGAAAATCTTCTTTTCTACTCCTTGGTATTATTTAAACAAATTGAATACATAGATATGATAAGCAAGAGTGACTGTACCAAAATTGTGAAATTCATAGCCCCAGGGTCAGGGGTTCTGATGCTAGGGCAGGGCTATATAGATCATATAGTGAAAGTGCATTATTTTTTTGAAAATCTTCTTCTCTACTCCTTCTACTTCTGGGTATTATTTAAACAAATTAAATACATAATTATGATAAGCAAGAGTGACTTTACCAAAATTGTGAAATTCATGGCCCCAGGGTCAGGGGTTCTGGTGCTAGGGCGGGGCTATATAGATCATATAGTGAAAGTGCATTATTTCTTTGAAAATCTTCTTCTCTACTCCTGGGTATTATTTAAACAAATTAAATACATAGTTATGATAAGCAAGTGTGACTCTACCGAAATTGTGAAATTCATAGCCCCAGGGTCAGGGGTTCTGGTGCCATAGCCCCAGGGTCAGGGGTTCTGGTGCTAGGGCGGGGCTATATAGATCATATAGTGAAAGTGCATTATTTCTTTGAAAATCTTCTTCTTTTCTCCTGGGTATTATTTAAACAAATACATGGTTATGATAAGCAAGGATGCCTCTGCCAAAATTGTGAATTTCATGACCCCTGGATCAGAGTTCCTGATATTAGGGTGGGGCTCTATTTATTATATAGTGAAAATACATTAATGCTTTAAAAATCTTCTCCGCACCTGGGCATATCAGAGGCAAAAAGAGTAAAAGTTTTAATAAGGAAGGGTATTTTTACCAGATTTTTGAACATCAGAACCATTTGGTCAAGTGTTCTGGTCCAGGCCAGGGCTCTATTAATTTGTATTCTACTGAGAGGAGTTATTCCCCTTTGTCATTTACTTGTGATAATTAATCACTGTAAATAATGTACTTGAAAGGTTAATAGAATAAGAGAATTATGCAAGAATTTTTATTGTATAATACAAAAAGTACTTTCATAGTTTTAATGATCAGGTAGACTTGTAAGTAACAGATAAATAAAAATGAGACAAAAATAACTTGCCTTATTAAATGTTCATCAAAGACCAAGAGAGGCCAATGTAAGAGATTTCAACAAGGAATTAAAAGGGTACAGAAGCACTGATTATAAGTTTGTTTTTATACTGTCTGATGAGAGTGATAAATGGGGAACAGATTAGAACCTAATTTATGTACTGTTAATGAACACTAGACTAATTATTTTGTTGATCCAGATCACCCTATTTTTCTTGCTTTTGGGCAACAAAGCTTCACCTTTCAGTTCATTTTATACTGTATCGATCCTATAAATTGTTGTATTATACTCAGGTGACCGTTAAGGCCCTTGGGCCTCTTGTTACAATAGTTCTAATTGTTTTTATTCTTTATTTTATTTATTTATTTTTTTTTTGGGGGGGGGGTCAGATTTTTAAAAGAAAATCTAACCCAAATATTATTTAAAAATATTGTTATTTCATTTCCACTTCCAGCTTCGACTGATTTCTGTGTTAATTCTCCATGTAAAAATGGTGGAACATGCACTTCCAGATCTTCCACATACTCATGCCAATGTCCTACGGGATTTACTGGAAACACATGTGAAAGTAAGTTGTTTTTTTTTTTTATTACTATTTTAAAAAGTTGTTGCAATATTCATGCTGAGCTTCTCTTTAGACACTTAAGTAAAAAAAAATCAAATTCCTGATGAGTCCAGATGTTCTTTTTACATTTTCCAGATTATTTTATATGGAATTTCTCTTTTCTTTTTTTTTTATTTATTTATTTATTTGTGAGTTTTCAGATTTTAAAAGAAAATCTACCCAAAACATTATTTGAAAATATTCAAATTTAATTTCCACACTCAGCTTCGACAGATTTCTGTTCGAATTCTCCATGTAAAAATGGTGGAACATGCACTTCCGGATCTACAACATACTCATGCCAATGCTCTACGGGTTTTACTGGAAATACATGTGAAGGTACGCTACTTTTTTAAGTGTTGCAAAATTTATTGCAGTTGTATTTAGACATTTTAGTAAAGAAATTTAATTCCTCATGGGTCTCAATTTTCTTTTACAATTAAGCAGATTGTTTTGTGTTTGAATTTTATTTTATTTCATTTATTTATTATTTTATTATTTTCTTTCTTTCTTTCTTTCTTTTTTTTTTTTTTTTTTTTTTTGTTTTTTTTTTTTTTTTTTTGGTTGTTGTTTTTTTTTTGTTTTTTGTTGTTGTTTTTTTTTTTGTTTTTGTTTTTGTTTTTTTTTTGTTTTTTTTTTTTTTTAATTTTTGGATTTTTTAAGGAAAATCTAACTTAAGCATTATTAAGAAATATTCTTGTTTAAATTCCATTCTCAGCTTCAGCGACTAATTTCTGTGTTAATTCTCCTTGTCAAAATGGCGGGACTTGTACTTCCCGATCTACCTCGTTCTCATGAGGAGGTATCTTAGTTACTTTATTAAGTAAAATATTGTGTTTTTTTCCCCTAAATTATTATTCTTTTTGATACATGTGTTAATATAGATACGATTGACAATGGAAATGCAACTTCATGTGCCGACAACCCTTGTCAGAACGGTGGGACATGTGTAGAAACCCCAAGTGGATCCCTTTCCTATAGTTGTACTTGCCCATCAGGATTTCCTGGCTTAAATTGTGAAGGTAAGAAAACTATATTACAGCTGTAGTACACAGATTTGGTATTTACATTCTTATCAAAAAATGCCTAGTCTCAATCAGCTTGATTCTCTGTTTCCATTTTGACCCATGTCAGAAAGACACTAGTATTAGACGAAGAATCTTTTGCTACAAGGGAGAGCACAATTCACCCCCCCCCCCTCCCAAAGTGATTAGTTCTGTGCATTCGATCCTTGACTTAGTTGAAATAATCATATACTGTATGTTTTTGTTTCTTATTATGCCCCCCCCCCCTTCGAAGAAGGGAGGGCATATTGCTTTGCTACTGTCTGTCGGTCGGTCGGTCTGTATGTCTGTCGGTCCACCAACAGTTTCCGTTCATTTTCTTTGCAGAGGCTGCACATACTGAAATGAAATTTAATATACAGATTTATCATTAGAATATCTAGGTCAAGTTCTATTTTGGGTACGATCGAGTAATTTTTGGCAGAGTTATGCCCCTTGGACTTCGAAAAATTCCAATTATTTGCAGTTTCCGTTCATTTTCTTTGCAGACGTTGCACATACTAAATGAAATTTGATATATAGATTTATCATAACAATATATAGGTCAAGTTTTGTTTTGTGTATGATCGAACAATTTTTGACAGAGTTATGCCCCTTAGACTTAGGAAAATTCCAATTATTTGCAGTTTCCGTTCATTTTCTTTGCAGAGGTTGCACATACTGAAATGACATTAGGTATACAGATTTATCATAAAAATTTCTTGGTCAATTTCCGTTTTGGGTATGATCGAACAATTTTTGACAGAGTTATCCCCTTGGACTTGGAAAAATTCCAATTATTGAAGGGGGGCATTGTTACATTTGCTCTTTTCAACCAATCAGATAATCTATTCAAGTTCAGGGCTAGTTCGAGAAGGTATTGCTTTAGAAGTAAACGTCTTGTGAGTTATATCCATACTTTGATTTCTTCGTTTTTTCATTTACTGTTTTAGGTCGCTCTTGTCGATTTGAATTGGAGAATGACCCAGCTTGTTTCCTAGATACCCATGATTCCTCTTCGTACTGGTTTAGAAGACAGGTAACGTGAGAACAATAAGAATATAAGAATATTTGCATTAGCAGATAAGTCTGCTACATGTATTAATGGTTCTCCAGAATTGCTTACTGACAGGCCACCAGTAGCTTGTGTTTTTGTTGATCGTCAAACCTTCCTTGTGAATTTACTTTTTCCCTTTGAAAAACCATGTCCAATTCAAAAGCAATATTTGTTTATTAGGAATTAAAAGTAATGGTCTTTAAAATCCTTCTCCTTAGTATCATCAAGGTTTTAGATTAATAGAAATAATAAGCAAGCATCCTAATGATTGATTAATTGTATGTTGTTTCACGTCCCATTCGAGAATTTTTCACTCATATAGAGAAGTCACCATTTATACCGATGAAGGTCTTCAAATTTAGACCTTTACTCGGCACTCAGAGCCATGGAGCAGTGAGTGTTCTTTATCGTGCCTACCGTGACACGGGACCTCGGTTTTTAAGGTCTCATACGAAAGACCCGTGATTTTTACTTCACGAAGAAACAGTCGCTACTTAATATGTTTACGTCTTACTCGAACAACAATCGAACCCCGGCCTCCCAATCATGAAGCGAACGCCTTACCACTAGGCTACCGTGACCGGTAGCATCCTAACGAAATATAGATTCAAATTTGTTCAAACCATGGCTTACTTAAGATTGACCTCAATTGTGGATCTCTTTGAAGTTTGATACAGTCTTTAAATCTTTTCGCAGCAGGGACTTCAAGGCTACAAATATTGGGAAAAATTGGTGTAAGCATTCTAACGAAGTAGGCATAAAATACCATCGTCCTGAGGGGAAAAATGGAGCACATTTGGGGAGGGGGTAATAATATATGGCAGTATCTTTTCACTGTGTTTCACACACACACAGTTGATCAAATGAGGCTTATGGGTATTTTATTCTAGTAGTTCGTTCTCATAAGTTAAGGTTGATACATATTTTGTAACTTTGGGATAATTCATATAAGGAATGAATTTAATAGCTACCCAAGTTTTACTATATAACCTGGGTTGGGGCAGTTTACGCTTTATAAACTGCGAAGAGGTTTATAAAAAAGCGTCCACTCTTCCAGCTCAAGTTATACCAATATAACATGGGTAGCTATTAAATTCGTTCCTTATAATTTAATTTTCCATCATTGAGTGTGGGAAATAAGACAATTTTTTTTCTAAAAAATAAGACAATTTTTCTCAATTTTTTTTCCAATCAAATGACGCGATACAACCAAAATAAAATTATATGGCTTTAATATGACTTTTATGACAAAATCATAGTTTACATCCCAGATAAATTAGAGGAAATAAAACCATCAGTGGCCTCAATAGATATATTCAAAGTATATAAAATAAAATGGAAATAAAAGCTAAGGATTCTGAGGATATGTGTTTACACTTCTAAGCAGGCATTTTTTTTCATAAATAGCCATCATGTTTCATTAATTAGACATGAGTGAGAATTCTTAAGTTTATGTCCTCATAACATGTCCAAACATAACCAAAAATCTTCAGTGTCAGGGAATAATTTTTTAAAAGAAAAGTGGAATACGCCATATGCAAATCGATGGAAGATACATGTTTTATTGGTAGAAAACGTGCTCATATTTATTTCCTATATAGCATCAACTTTTCTGGACCGGAGAAATTATCAACTGAACATAGAAAAGTTTTTTTACACTAATAAGAAACTTTTTGGAGTATTCGAAAATATTGCTGGTCTGTGGATTGATTGACTAATGTTGTGTTATATTCTATTCTAGAATTTGTCACCGATTCTAGTATGATACGGCATTCTAGGATTTAGAGATGACTGGGGAGGGGGACAAACCCCTACCCCTCCCCCACGTGATTTTCAGAGTAATTAGATTTCAGAGCAAAATAACACGTGAATGTTGGGACCTCGGTTTTTTAAAGTCTTATACGAAAGACATTGGATTTTCTCTTCTAATCATGAGAGCTTGGCGAAGAATCAGTCATTGTCTATGCTAAACGTTAAGTTTGACGTGGTACTGTGTACAAGACTTGAACCAAGACCTCCTGGTCACGAAGCGAGCGCTTTACCACTAATTAGTCATAATGCTGAATAAGAGAACTACTTCATTCAGGCTACCAAGAATCAAATTTTCATTAAGATGATTATTTTAAAGAAAAGTTTATCAAAATTTAATCAATGATCCTTTTTGGTAAATATATGATCTTCATTCATATTTTCTTTCCGTAAATTTATTTAGAGTTTTTCTGAGATATACAGACGACATAGTGTTAAATGAAATTAAACAATTTTTATCATCTAGAAAGAGGTAATTTAAAGGGTAAAACATTTAAACTGAAAATCATTCTATGTATGTAAGTTTTAAAAATGACTTTGAAACAATTTTTTTTTCAATAAAAATAAAAAAAAATTACTAGCCCATACAGAAATTATATTGGTCCAACATGGCCCATTAAGATATTTTTTTCACATTTCAGGGACCGACGCCTTCTAGTGGAACTGGCCCATCAAGCGCCTATGAAGGAGAGTTTTATTTTTATTTTGAAGCCACACGTCGAAGACGTTGGGGTAGTTACTACTTTTTTGACAATGGAGTCTTTTTCGAAGGTAAGTATCGATTAAGCGACACCTTAACTTTTTTGAAAGGTGGATCGAGTGAATCACAAATTCAAATTATTATTTCAAAATTTCACAGTTGAGTCCTTCCGCTATATCCGGCAAAGTTGGCTTAATGCATAAACATTACGCTATGGACAACAGTATCTTTGTTTGCTATTAGGGTTCAGTAACTTTTTAGATATTAACCTTATCAGCTGTCGCAAAAATTATAAATCGTTACCGTAACTTTACAAATAACAAATATCATCAGCTGTTACTGTGCAAAAGTCTTATCAGTTGTAGTTTTACAGATTAAAAGGTAGTACAGACCCTGAAACGTGCTACTACCCCAAAAAAGCGTGTGACTTTCGTGCGCTTTTCGTTTCGTGCAAACCGTGTAGCGTTTCGTGTAAACCGTGCAGCGTTTCGTGCAAACCGTGTAGCGTTTCGTGTAAACCGTGCAGCGTTTCGTGTAAGCTCCAAAGCGTTTCGTGCAAATCGTGTAGCGAGCGTGCGAGAATCGTGTGAGAAACGTGCAACTTTCGTGTAAGAACCGTGTGAGAAACGTGCGACTTTCGTGCAAGAATCGTGTGAAAAGCGTGTAGGATTCATTCGGAAGTCATTTTATTTTAAATATGGATATTGATGGATCAACATGTCATTCTGTGTTGTTTGTAAGTAATATTATTCGCATATATTACCGGTGGTATAAAATAAAAATACGGAAACAACAAATTAAATAAAATTACTCGGTAATGTATTACATATTTGTTTGTTTTTCTTCCTTTTTTAAAAAAATAAAGATGGACATAAAATATGTTCAAAGTAATTAATTATATGTACATCAATTTAGAGGTATTTGATTCAATATATTTTTAAAGGGGGCAATACTAAACATTTTTTTAAAAAAGAAAATTCACCAAGAATCCGGTCTTGTCCTTTTCATTCATTCACTTGAATCTCTTCACCATTTTACAATTATGGTACATGTATATAAAGATAACAAAAACATATGGGTGATTAATACAAAATAATAGATAGATAAGGCAGGCGTGAAAAATAAAATACAAAATTTAGTGCGTTGCTATAAATGTGAAGTATGGGAATTCTAGGCCGGGAAGCACAGTTAATTCATTTCTTTATAAACGAACATAATTTTCTTATATCACAAGATTGTGTTACAAATAATTTTGAAACGAAGAGTCATTTATAGTCTTTTTATGCATACAATTGGTTGATTAATAATTGTCACATAAATGAATTATAATTCACATGCTTCGGCAAATACAGGGTAAATTATTTCCGGGGTGGGGGGGGTGGGGGGGGGGTGTTCAAATGAAAACACAAACTGAGCTTTTGTTGTTAAGTGTTTTATATATAATTTTGTTTTTAAAGAAATCTATTGCTTTTTTTCGGGGTGCGCCCGATGCACCCCTTAAAAATATACTAGAATCTTCTTTACACTTCCAACACTCTTCTTACGACAGTGATCAAGGTCATTCACAACAGCGATCACGGGCACCTCGTAACGGGAACTGAAAACTTGTTCTGTTATAATCTCTTGTCAATCATAGCTAAGATGACACGGGACAATAACGATTGATTTTGATTAGTGAAATTAAATCGTTTTATTAGTATTTAATGGGTACAAATAAATACGGTCCGTGGATTTTATTTCTTAAATTTATCCGATTGTCTGTAAACAGTGAATTAATTTGCCAGTGTATTCGCGAATAAAAAAAATATATAGAAATAAATCTTGAGTACAGTGTAATTATTAGTTGTTTTATTAATCACGTAATTACAGAGCATAATTTTTAGTTTATAGGATATAGGACATGTACATACATGTATATTGAATGTATTGCTAAAAGCCGCGACTTTTGTTTAATTGTCTAGGGGTTTGAAATCAAGGATTTTACAAAGTGGTGGATATATTGTTTTTATTTGATAAACACAATGCCTCAAACGAGAACTAAAGAATTACAATACCTTTCTCCCCGGCTTCTCTACTGTATAAAATTTTATGATAAAGTTTAACTCTGTAATGAAACGATTATTTATCATTCTGAATAAAGTGCATTTAATGAATTACATGTATCTCGTCCCTCTGGATATCCTTTTATTTTCTTAGAATGGGCACCTGTTTCTATAATAATATTTCCCCCAATGTTACACTAATTGAAACAAGTGCCCGTTATATTTAGCCGTGTACAGATTTGAAGATACAACAGCAAGATCTAGGTAATCTACCTCCCCCCTCTTCCTGCACAATGTAGTGTACATGTCACTTTTTCAAATTATAAACAGAACCTAATCTAATCCAATGAATATATTTTTTTTTATAAAAAAAAAAATGAATAAATCAATCAATAATTAAAAACGAAAGAAAAGAAAATCGATTCGCTTTCAAAAACCATACGCAATTTAATCATTTTTTTTTCAAATCAATAACTGAGTTTATTTGTCAGTAATGAAACGACTTTTTAATATCAAACTATAGGATAATTGTAAAAACATTGGATGCTATAAAAGATTATGAATTACAAATATAATTATTTTTTTCAGTGCGTAATTTAGAGTCTATTTAAAAAAGGTTTGTACATAGACGATGATAAGCATTTCACCGAGCGGGCACATACTCAATGATAACTACATCTGTATTAATTAATTACAACCGAAGATTGAGTATTTTACCTGTTAATATAGTACTGGTGTAGCGAGTTTTAATCTTAAACTGAATGATTGCAATTCTTAGCTAATCTTTGATTAATCCGTAATAATTTAAATAAAGTCCGAGAGATTCCGAATAGAAAATCCAGATCGAGGCCAAAGCGTGCGAGAATCGTGTACAAAGCGTGTGAGAAACGTGTACAAAGCGTTTCGTGCAGGCTTTCGTGTAAACCGTGCAGCCTTTCGTGCAAAGCGTTTCGTGTAAACCGTGTAGCGTTTCGTGTAAACCGTGCAGCGTTTCGTGCAAACCGTGTAGCGATCGTGTACCGTTCGTGCAGCGTGCGTGTGGGGTAGTAGCACGTTTCAGGGTCTGTATTTTTTGTAGTAGTCCCTACACCATTCATTAGATATAATTTAAACTCCATGTTATTGAATTTTATTTTTAAAGATACAACCCACTGCTTGAGTCTGTATTATCTCATGAGGGGGAGACATATAGGTTCCTTTTCCATTTACACATACAAGTACGAAAACGGATATCAAGAAGAGTTTTCTGTAAGAGGATCACAAGGAAACCAATGGCATAAATTGGAGCTTAATATTCATCTGGATCCAGACACATTCGTAAGTTATTAGATCAAGGGTTACCTGAGTCCTGAGACATTCATAAGATATTTTATCAAGGGTTATCTGAGTTCTGAAACATTCATAAGTTATTATATCTAGGGTTTCTGAGTCCTGAAACATTCGTAAATTAGCATATCAAGGGTTATTCGGGTTCAGAGACATTCGTATGTTATTATATTAGGGATTATCTGAATCCAGAGACGAGTTAGCATTACAAAGGTTATCTGGATCCAGAGACATTCGTACATTATTATACCCCACGCAACAAGTTGCGTGAGGTATAATGTTTTTGACCCGTCCGTCAGTCAGTCAGTCAGTCAGTCAGTCAGTGTGTCAGTCAGTCAGTCAGTCCGTCAGTCCTGTTTTTTTTGTCAGCGCAACTCCTCATAAACCGCTGCACAGAATTTCGTCAAACTTTGCAGATATTTAGGACACAATGTGTAGATGTGCATATTACCAGGAAATTCCGATTCCTTTATATTTTCTGGGAATTTCGGCACTTTTCAACTTAGATTTTTGGCCATATCTTGAATATAAAGATGAACAGTTTGTCTGCGCAACTCCTCTTAAACCCCTGCACAAAATTTGGTCAATCTCTGCAGATATTTAGTACACAGTGTGTAGATGTGCATATTACCAGGAAATTCTGATTCCATTATTTTTTCTGGGAATTTCGGCACTTTTCAACTTAGGTTTTTGGGCATATCTTGAATATAGAGATGAACAGTTTGTCAGCGCAACTCCTCTTAAACCCCTGCACAGAATTTGGTCAAACTTTGCAGATATTTAGTACACAGTGTGTAGATGTGCATATTACCAGGAAATTCCGATTCCATTATTTTTCTGGGAATTTCGGCACTTTTCAACTTAGGTTTTTGGCCATATCTTGAATATAGAGGTGAACAGTTTGTCAGCACAACTCCTATTAAACCGCTGCATAGAATTTTGTCAAACTTTGCAGATATTTAGCACACAATGTATAGATGTGCATATTACCAGGAAATTCCGATTCCTTTATATTTTCTGGGAATTTCGGCACTTTTCAACTTAGATTTTTGGCCATATCTTGAATATAAAGATGAACAGTTTGTCTGCGCAACTCCTCTTAAACCCCTGCACAGAATTTGGTCAATCTCTGCAGATATTTAGTACACAGTGTGTAGATGTGCATATTACCAGGAAATTCTGATTCCATTATTTTTCTGGGAATTTCGGCACTTTTCAACTTAGGTTTTTGGGCATATCTTGAATATAGAGATGAACAGTTTGTCAGCACAACTCCTCTTAAACCGCTGCACAGAATTTGGACAAACTTTGTAGATATTTAGTACACAGTGTGTAGATGTGCATATTACCAGGAAATTCCGATTCCATTATTTTTGCCTTAAGAGTTTTGCCTTTTATTGAAGAAACTTTCCAGCTAGGTAATAAGAAACTCCACTGGAATCAGCTTTTTATAATGAAATTCTATGTGAAATATTTTATGACCTTAAAAGACCCTTATTGATTTTGAGATCAAAATATTAATGGTTTAACACAAACACACACTCACACACACACCATCTTCGATAGTTCTCTCTCCCCCCCCCCCCCCTTTCAAATTGGTGTGCTTTGCCTTAAATAATTTCATAAGTACAGTATATAAACAGATTCATATGAATGACTACATCATAATTTTGTTTCCATCAATTATTTAAATGTGTAAACTGTCATGTGTTGGACATGGACTTACACTCATTAACAAATCGAAATCACTGAGGAATTTAAATAACAGTTTGTCAGCATAATTCCGGCACTGAATTTCCTGAAACTTTGTAGGTATTTCAGAATAATGTATAGATTTGTATATTACCAAGAAATTTTGATTCCATTATTTATCTAGAAACTTCAGCCCAGTTAAATTTGTAACATACAAAGATTTGAATGTCCTTATATGCAAGAAGTTTTGATGTGATGATTTTTTGCAAGTAATGCCCCTTTTTTGAATTATGCTGTGTATTTAAAATGCACTGTGCCATTCATTACGTGTTGCATTGTCGAGTTTTGGGGAAGCGTGGGGTATGTGAGCTTGCTCACTTTTTCTTTCATTATATCAAGAATTATCTAAATCCAGAGACAAGTAGGCATATCAAGGATTATCTGAATCCAGAGACAAGTTAGCATACCAAGGATTATTTGTATCCAGATACAAGTTAGCATACCAAGGGTTTTCTGAATCTAGAGACATTTACAAAGTAAGCATGTCAAGGGTTATCTAGATCCAGAGACATTCGTACCTTAACATATCAGTATCATGTTATCTGGATAAAGAGACATTCTTATGCATGTCAAGGGTTATCTGAAAGTTTAATGCTGAAGTTACCAAAGTAATGTTGTTGGTCAAGATAAAAGAACACAATGAGTGTAACCAGTAAAATGTTTAGAGCATCGTCTATCGGTATAAGGATAAAGAACAGATTCATGATTTAGAGAACAAATACAATTGTGTTGAGCTGAAAAAGTGGTAAAGTAAAACTTAAAAATAAAAATATCATAACAGTTACACAACAAGTGTATTAATCAGTTGATACACATTACGTGTCGCTCTGAAATGTATATAGGTAGATTTTCTCCATTAATAATGGTAGAGTAAAGCTCTTATTACTAAAGACTCAGACCAAATAGAACTTCAAGCACATAAAGAATCAACGGGGCAAAATATGAGACAAATCATTGTTTATGACAAAGAGAGACATGGGGATTATTTATACAGTAAAAACAACGTAATCTGACATCTGTGCAATCCCTTTCATTGTGAATTCCGACTTTTATCCCCAGTGTACTACTTTCCATTTCCTCTACACTGTACAATCCGGAACCATGTCTATTCCTACATATTATTTGTGCCTCAGTGCATCTCGGGTTAGACTGGTTTATCTGTGTTAAGAGTCGTCTCTCTTAATAAACAGCTATTTCACTTTAAATTCTTTCTTTGTTTAGATTGTTATGGAGGCCGTCAGAGGAAGAACATTCAGGAGTGATATAGCAATAGATGACGTCATTCTTATGCCTTACCCGTGTCCAACAGGGAACTAATCCTAGTGCTTGAAATAGGGATTCCGATTCCCCATCATAAAAAAGTTAATATTGATACGAACATGCAACTGAACCGATTCGTTTTCTTTGTTTGTCTTTCTTTGTCCATTTGCTAATCACGTCATTGTCATTGTTGTCAATAAATGAAGTACCTGTATTCTTGCAATTTGATGTGGTTTCCTAACGTTTTATCATTTTGCAATTGTTTAAATTAACTAAAATATGTGTACATCATTATTTTGTAGTCGGAATAAATATATCCAGCATCAGAAATATACAGTTTTTGTTATGCATTACTGCATACGTGTTTAACCAAAAATCTAAACGAATATAAATTAAAAAAAAAAATTGAACAATCTCTCATCTGATCCAGAAAAAAATTCTGATTTTTTAGTCCCCTAGCGGTGAAACCGGAGTAGACTATAGGTTTCCTCTGAGTCTGTCCGTCCGTCCGTCTGTCTGTCTGTCTGTCCCTCTGTCTGTCTGTCAATCTGTCCCACTTGGTTTTCCTCACTTTTTTTTCTAAAAGCTTGCAGATACTGAGCTGATTTTTGGCATGTGAGTGTATCTTGATGAGTTACAGATCAAGTTTGCATTTCATTCCACTTCATTGATTTTTGATGGAATTATGGCATTTTCAATTTTTAACGGGAACCAGATTACACTTGCCGGTAGGGGACTAGTATTGCTAATGCAATACTCTCAGAATGCTTGTTTAAAATGTACCTTTGATATAGATATATACCTTTGTTACAGGTAAATAATCTTTTAATGTGAAAAGGGTTAGAGAGCTATCCTTTCAAAAGGTAGTTATAACCACTGATACAAAAAAATTTCCATACAAATCTCTTACTGACTTTCAACTTTAAGATTTTTTTGTAAATCATAATTGAAATTTGTATGGTAGTGGCAGGAAAAAATTACTGAGACATGTCTTCTTGAAATATGGTGTTCATCACCCCGATATTTATTTGTTCCCTACCGGTGAAACCGGAGGGGACTATAGGTTTACTCTGAGTCTGTCCTTCCGTCTGTCTGTCTGTCTATCTGTCCCTCTGTCTGTCTGTCTGTCTGTCCGTCCGTCTGTCTGTCTGTCAGTCTGTCCCACTTGGTTTTCCGCACTTTTTTTTAAACGCTTGCAGATACTGAGCTGATGTGTGGTATGTATGTGTATCTTGATGAGTTACAGTTCAAGTTTGCATTTTGTTCCGCTTCAATGATTTTCGATGGAATTACGACCTTTTCAATTTTTCAGTGTTTTTCGCATTTTCTTTCTAAACGCTTGCAGATATTGAGCTGACCTTTGGTATGTGACTTTACCTTTATGAGTCTTAGATCAAAATTGCATTTCTTTCCGCTTCACATGGTACATACATCAATTATATTCACAAAAGAATTCTCCCGCCCTTCAGTCCCTGCATGATGAATTATTATAATAGCTAGCATAGAAAAAAATGAGATACTGGAGGGAATCATGATCAATGAATTAATTGGACATAGCTTTAGAAAGGTTAAAATTTTCAAAAATTGCAAGCTTTGGAGATGCATTGAAAAGACCCGTAGTAGTTGCTGCAAAACATTCTATTTTGTAATGAGTACGTCGCGGTAGTGATTATTTTAAAAATAATGCAACCCGAGTAGACTTTACAGTTAATTGGCATTATCAATTCTTGAATAACCAATAGACTTGCTTTTATTGCTAACATTTTTGTTTATTATTCCTATAATCTGATAAACGGTTCTAAAAATAATTCAAAATTTATAAGAGATCCAAACTGATAATTAAAATTTCACTTCTATGTTTTCTTTCTAATTGTTTCTTCTCATCATGTATAGTTACGCTATTTTGAGAGAATAAGACATTGTACGATTTACTACTTTGTCGCAATTAATAAGCGATAATCGATCCCTTCGATTCTGTAAATCGCACTTCACCAGGTACACCAGACCAACCGGACATATTTCGTAAGAGTCCGGATTTCTTTCAAAACAATTGGTAATCAACTTTCAAATTTAACATGTAAATTGTAAATATATAGGGAGTTTAGTTGTAGTGTTTGTTGACTTTTGTTTCTCTGTTTCCTTTCCTTTTATGACAAAGCGTCCCGAAAAGAAGAAGGTACGGTTTGGGCTTTATTGTGCCCTATAAATGTAATGTTCTTAAAAGGTTATGAAATTGGTTATAACATGAGCTGAGTAGATGAATATGATAAATCATTAAAGAATATGGCATAAAGGAGGACCATTCTGGAAATATGAGGTCATCAGTTTGGTACATTTCTAAGTTTTATGCAAAAAAGCCTCAAAATGACTCATTTCTGTGCTTATTTTCCTTTAGAAAATAGTGTCCGCAGCCCTCGCCCACTTCAATTTTTAGTTATATAGTGTAAAATGCTTTGATAAAACACATATCTCAAAATCTTTGTGGGCTATGCATGCGCTGTATGTTTTCTGAAAGAAAATTCCACTGAAAATTGATGTCTTCTGCAACTTTAAAAGAAAATACGGGAAAATGCACAAGTTCATGACGTCACAATTAGCATTTAGGAGGTCATATTGGAAAAACGATTTGTATGTTCTTACTGCATGGAATTTCAATAATTCAGAAAGGATGAATTTAAATCTCTTACGTCACTTCTAAATTTTAGAAAAATACAGGGCCAGATATGTATTGAAACCGTACCTTGTTCTTTGACAATTACTATTGTTCGTGTTGTTGGTCATCTTAAGTGCATATATATATATATATATATATATATATATATATATATATATATATATATATATATATATATATATATATGATCAATAGTATGCAATGCATTTTTATACAAAACTTTTCTGGAATTTAAATATTATAGTTTCATTCTTACCTTTTTATTACGTTCATCAATATGAACTGTTTGTCCTTCGGCATGCTCTTCACCTTCAGCATTAAGTTTACCCTCAATAATAAACTTAAAAATTTGATATCCTTTGAAAATACGTTGTATTAATCTGAGATTTAAATGATATTTTCTGATTCATGTTATAACTGCATGGTTTTTGTAATGCACGAACATTATGTTTTCTTGTTAAGTTGCACGTAAGCAACAAAGTAATCAGAACGCCTAGTATGCCTTATACTTTTCTCATTACCTAATTTATAATGATCAATTATTTATCGAAAAATTGTAATTAAACCCTCATGAAAAATTACCTTTTCTCCTACTTTCTTTGATTATGGATGTTCATTTGACATTAAATTCTGTTGATTTTGATATATTTTTCTAAAACATCTACTATTCTATGCAATATCGTCTACAAATGTATAAAAAAGAAAAGATAATTTAAAAAAACATTCATGCTGTGCATCGCACATTAATTTTCCTTTTCTTTCAGCCTCTTTATAATCATGAATTTGGATCAAAATTTTTGATCATTGACCTGTTACACAAAGCTGTTAGGAAAAGCATTATGTTTTAGGTAACGATTTATTGTTCCTTGGTTATTCTAGACCATTCCTTCGTCTTTTGCTATTTCAATTTTTTCATTCTGTCCATGTAAAAGGTGAAGTTATAGATCAGTGATCGATCTCATCAATCCAGAACACGAAACTTGTTCAAAATAAGACCATACAACATTTTGTCACGTTTGTGCTCATTTTCAGACGTCGAGGAATTTAGGTCATTAAGACCTTGATGAAGGGGCTGCTCTAGAAATCCTTCCGAAGGTTTAAAAACAAAAAAATTGTCACATATCTGCGGATTTTTTCTTTGATCTTTCTGTTGAGATATTTCCCATATCACATATGCGATAATACTTTCCACGCCCCTCATATATCAATGCACGAGACACTTATATCGTGGGAAAAAAAATGTTACACACAATGTAGGAATAAATTGTTACGCTACTTGACTCAATGTTTCAAAACCAAATCAATTGAAGAAAAAATCAAATAAATCATATTTATCAAGCGCTTTGCTAAACAACACATCATCCAAATCGTGGAAATGCGTTCAAAATTCCAAACGGATCTAATCCCTTTACATAACGTCCGACCTGGTCCCTCACAACTTCTAAAATGACTAGATTTTTCACTTCTGACACACGTGTCATCAGATGTGTGAAAAGTCGCTTACATCACAGAAGTCTCTTATTTTTGGATATACAGTTTCATGAAAATTGTATATTCGATAATACTCGACATTTATTAGGGCGAAGCGCCCTCGATTTCCGCGCCATATGAAATTGTGTATTCAATAATACTCCACATCTACATGTATGATGTGACCTATACATATTGTCGTGTGTTTGGGCTGAGAGCAGCCGTAGCATTTAGGTTAAAAACATACTGTATGTATAGACGTTCTGTGTGATGTTGGTGACGTTTAACGTTACGCTTTCATAGCGAATAGGAAGTATTTACATAACGCTTCTAATAGTTCTACTAGCATGACCGGTGCTCTATCGCTATCTCTGCACTTGAAATATGAGTAAAAAAAATAATATACTACTTGTATTTAAACAAATGAACAAAAAGGGCGCTTTTGATTTATATATGATAAAATTCGTTAATTACCCAAACTTCTCTCTAACTCATTTTTTGCATAACGTTAAAGCTAAAGAAATTGTGCGTCATGAACGTCCAATGGACAAATATGTTGAATTTCTTAATGTTGCCTAAAATAATGATAAATTGGGTGAAATCATCAATCTGACATTCATTCTGACCGTTTGTTTTAGCACATTATGAACTTATCATTAATTTTGTACTCGAAGCGCAAAAATTTAACCCCTCGAAAAACGGCTAGATCTTATTTTTGCACGTCATTTTAGACTCTGGACATTTTTGATGAACATGTAACCCATTTATTTGCTACATAGCATGTTGTTTGATATCAACCTTACTGAAATATTTCAAGTCTATAAGGAAAGTACATTATTTGATATAATTTTTTTTTATTTGGATTTTCTTGCAATTGAGGAAATTTAATGTTTATATTGATATGCACGTTTTT